CGTTGATATTTGTACTTCTAAAAATATTGGCATTATTATTTCATATATATCTATGATTACTTACTAATAAGTACTCACTTAAGGAATTACTTCATTGCACAGTTTATTATAAGTGCAAGATCAAAATGGTAATAATCTAGTAATTGAATGTATCACAAAAGAGTTATTGTTGAAAATAATTAATTCTATTACTACTGCGCGTTCGGAAAAGGAGACTTACAAGCTTCGGTAACAACGTGATGTATCCAACCCCTACAAGAATCGTATAATCAATTCCGAGTCTCGTTCTGTTGTTGGTGCGCGATTCTAATTTAGGTTTTCTTAATCTGTATTTACCAAGGAACCCTGATCACAGAAAAATATTTAGATATACTGATTCTAAGAGGCGAGATAAGTAATCTTCCTGAGACGGAGCGACAGAACTTATTTTTTCAACGAAATGAGACTCCGGGTCATTACAGGTGAGTCTCTTAATGAATGTTTTTTCACTGGACGGACCGATTAAATGACTGGCGATGGCGAGATCCTCGGCGTTACATTTCTTTTTCTGGGGACACTTATGTGAAAGATTTATTATAGAAAAAGCAATTTGACAATGGGGACGAGTTAAAAACTGAATTTGGGCTTATTATTTCGAATATCATAAGAAAATCTACGGGTAGGGTTATCAAAACATTGAGACTACATACAAGATGGAACACATTTTAAACATTTAATAAATTAAATGCAATACCGTAGATACAGTGGTTGTTCCAAATTGTTTCTTAAATAAACTATACAATTTGAACGTTATTTTAAGGAATAATCAATCTTTCTATTTGACTCTTTCGAGCGGCATCATAAAATTATACACTTTTATACATGTTTTTTTTTTCACTTTCGTCGATTCGATTTTCAGATGAAGCTACCAACGAAAACTTTTTGAATGCAAGCTTTTAAAAATAAAATAATGTGTCCATGGGACAAAATATCCTATCTCGTGATCATTGTCCAAACTACAATATTTACGTTTAAGATTAGATTTTACATGATACGAGTTGTTTGTTGTGTTGTTGTTGATGTCGAATGAAAGAAAACAGCGAAAAACGGTAATGAAGGTATTTTGTGTTTCATAATTAATTCATACAAAGATTAAACTACTGCGACCTTGCGATGACTGCACAATTTTAAATATTCCCGCCTTTATGTCCAAATTTTCGTTCATATAATAATACTTAGAATAGTTGGCCAACAGCGAGAAAAAAGCTTTAAAAGTTAAAAATAATCTTACAAAAAATCTTTTTTAAATACATCTCCATCGTTTTCGTTGAGTATCTTCAACTTTTAACAGGTGTCTAAGTAAAATGTGGAAAATTAAAGGAAAAATATTTTACCGAAAAATGTGAAAAAAAAAGAATGTAAATTTTCCATGACCAACACTAATAATACCAAATTTGGCCACGTGTGGCAAACTGTAAATAATATTCGGAACGCAATCTACCTATAATTTAAAATTGCAACTCCAAAATTTTCAAACGTCAAATCTGACAGTCCGCCATAGCGTTTGTCGTGATTTTGTTGTCAAACAATTTTACAATAAAACGGGGATTTTATTAGTTTTATCCGATTGGAACGATGGCTATTGTGGAGGACGAGGTCCGGAATGAGTCGGAGGAGGAAAATGAGATCGAAGTGGTCGTAGAGGAAGACGATGGAGACCAAGATTCTGATGATTCTGACGTGAGTAAACCGCACATTTCTTTGTGGTATTTCGTAATTTTTATCAATAAGCAAAATATTTTGGCATGTGTAATGTAATATCATTTTATTTTCAATACGATGCATTAGTTGAACATAATGTTTTAAATGTAAAGCAATTGGAAAATTTACATAAGGGTCCACCCACTAACGAACTTCCCGTCTATTGTTATGGAAAAAAAACATCAAATTCCAATTGAACTTGACACAGTACTTAATAAAAAGAATTCAATATGTTCAATATTGCACATATTTAAGGAATGCTTACACATGCTTTTATGAAATTAGTAGTAAGCTGTGATGTAATATTTTTAATCAGGTGTTGGTTTTTTTACAGGACGATGATGATGAAGAGGTTCTAGAAAGGAAGGTAGAGGAGTTAGAGCGCCGCATTGCAGAGGACCCATACCACTATGAAGACCATATTGACTTGATACAAGCTTTATGGTAAGAGCTTTATTTAATATCTGCATTCAATCAGAGGAGATTTAGTCTGTGAAAGTAATGCAAGTGTAACATTTTACTACTTACTTTTAGACAATTTATACTTCTAATTATAATAATAATAATGCACACACTCAGCATAGCCCCGCACTAGGGAAACCCTGAGTCGCGGGTGCCATGGACACACAAATTACACCCAAAGTCACAAGAGTAATAAATGTAGACCATACGAATATTTCTCCCGGCCCGGGCATTAACCTGGGACCTCTGCATGGCAGTCCGCATGGTATCTGTTTGGCCACAGAGGTAGTTCCAAGTGCAGTAGCAATTGGACTAAAAGGGCATCTAATCGTTGATAAGTAATATTTATAAACTCATTGTATTGTAAAATTAACATGTTTACAGTCCTTAACTCCACCTGGAGTTGCAAATTGACTTCAACCATAAGTCCATGCATACCTATGGAGTTGCAACTATAGTGTAATCTATTGTACCAGAAAAGTAAACAAACAGAACATTGACCAGACCATAGTTTAGTGATGGTCAAATGTACTGCGAACTACAGATGGATTAATTAATAGAATGAATCGATTTGTTTAATTGAATCAGTTGGAATAACTCAGTTTTATATAATAAAATGGGTTTTGCAATTTCACGTCTGATTACTATAAAAAAATATGTGATTCAATATGGAGTGATGATATTTCATATGTGAGATTAGAAATTTTAAATTTGCTTTTATACTTATGTAAGCATAATTATAAAAGCAAATTTAAAATTTCTTCCTTCAAATCCATATACTTATATATTTGTTTGATTGTGATAAAATTTTTGCTTTACTAATCGATTACAAAAAGTCATGGAATGAACCCAATGAGTTATTTCCATACAGCTGTTTGCAACCATAGACTATTCACAAATCTATATTTAAAAAATAACCTCACTTTTGATCTAAGATTTTTAATATGTTATTGAATATTGCTGGAAAAAGTGATGAGATTTCACATTGAAGTTTTCAAAATATACGTGAATGATACTCCATTTATTGAGTGATTCCTTTAGAATTTTAACCAAACCGGTTTGTTTACTTTTCTGGCACAGTGGATTGGAACAGACTTTACATACTACAGTGAATGTCAAATATTTTGGTTGGACTTGTAGATCAAAGCCCTAATTTTTTTGAACTTGTGAATTGGGTAGTCTTGGTACTTGGTGTAACGGGCTGGTGTCCGCAACTCGACGTCAACGCGCCTATTTTGCGTGTATTGGGTAGTCTTTCATAGTTGTAATTTTTCAAAAATAACTACGATATGAAATATGATATATTATGAATAATGCAAGACAAAACCAACACTATTTCACATAAATTCCGTTGGTTTATATAAGTTGTTGACAATACTGAACTGTGTAATCTTAATAAAGTTGATGAATCGTAAACAAAAAACAGTTGGTAACCCCATATTGGTTACCAAATTGCTTAAATTCTTTAATGTGTCTAAAATGAGTGTTAATATTGATGTCAAAATTCCTTCATTCTAACTGGACTCAAATAAGTGTCTATTGCCATGCTGGGGCCACTATTTTTTGATAACAAATTTAAGAGCAGTGGCCCTAGCATGGCTACAAACTCTGGTTCAAGTCCAGTCAGATTGAAGGAATTTTTCTTTGTGTCCGATCTTTGTATTTACAATAATAGCAAACGTATTGGACTATTTTCACAAAAAAATATATCAAAATCATGATTTGGAGCCACCACTCTTATTCAACTAATTTAAGAGTAGTGGCCCTAGCATGACAACAGACACTACAGATACTACTGATTCAAGTCTAGTCACATTGAAGAAATTTTTCTTTATGTCTCGACTCATCCGTAGAACAAAGATCTATGTGCAAAATTACTTGTTCTCAGGACATAATGTATTTAGTTTGTTCTTCTTTGCTGTGGATGTCATTCCCAAACAAAATAAGATATATAAGTTTTAGACTTAGGACTTAATTTGAATAACGAAATTGTTCTCGTAACGCACTTATTCACTTTTCGCTGTATAATCACATCGGACTCTGTTCTTCGGATGAGTCGATCTGATCTTTGTATCAATTATAATCACAAAACGATTCTAACAAACTACTAGAGTACATTTTCTTCAAAACCATATCAAAATCAGGGTTAGTAAAAAATTTGTAAATATTGATATTAAGTCAATACTAGTTCCATCTAGACATGTGCGCCGCACTACCCCGGCCGACCGACTGACCGGCATGCCATTGGCGTGGTGACAATTGATCTTATTTTAATGAAGCATCATTATTTATTATTTACTATACTTTAGTTACAATTGAAATGAATTCGTTCCCGTCTGATGGGATGTATGTACATCCCATTTATATGAGATTTAGATTGAAATAACAAGTGTGTTTATTTTTACGTTATTGTCTCTTTTTGCAAACATTTTTAAGTTAATTTTTTTAGTAACAGTGTGTACATACCTTTTTTTTTTGTGTACATACCTGCGAAAGCTGCTAATGTGTAAAAAAAAAACGTTGACAATGAATACACAGTAGTAATTACGCAATTAATATAGCAACATTTCTGTTAGTTTTCTGGTAGCTGTAAAGGTAGTTAGGTGAGTGAAAAAGCTTTCATAAGTTATCACAGGTAGCGCTACGGTATGTTCCGCAATACCCATATAGAAAGAGAATTCGTAAGATCTACTGACTCATTCCGTATCTCAGATGGCAGAGCGGTAGCCACGTAGACGCGACCGGCACTGGTTCGAGTCCAGTCGGATGGAAGAAATTTCTAAAACCTTAATTTCTAATAAAAACCAGAATGATAATCAATAAAAATGCACAACAAACATAGGTTGATGTAAACAACATTTTTTAACAACTGAAAAATTTGACTTACGGCATTCAGCTTTGGGGTCCCGCTTGCAATTCAAATATCGCACTTATACAAAGAGTTGATAATTCCATCCTCAAGCAGATTTCTAATAAACCCTGGTTCATTCGAAACTGACTGCTCGACTAGTTTAACCTTAGTTACTTTCATAGTATAATGTCCTACAAGATTCTCATGTGGGGTGTAGCGGCAGCTATACAAATCATATTTGTGTTGCAAATACGAGCGATTCGTTGTGTACTTACGTTGGCTTATGTTCTCGGGTTTCTCTAAGAGAAAAATTTAAGGAGCTTGGTATCATGAGTGTGGCATCACAGTACATTTATTCAAATATTTTGTATGCCTGTAAAAATATACATAATTTCATTAAGAAACAAGGTTTCCATAATTTTAACCTTTAGAACTAAGTCCAAACTCATGGTACCACGATTTCGTTTAACTAAAGATGAAACAATTTTTGTATGGGGAACTGTACACGTTTTTATAATAAGATTCTGGAGCTCTCACCTTAGGAAATGATAATCTTAATATATATTAATATTATCATTTTATTATACAGGGTTACAGGAAAAGTCGTGCTAGATCCGTTAAGGGCGTGGAGTACTCATCATTTCTGACTTATTTTACTATGAAACACCCTACCCTAAACTTAACCCTTTTCGAGATATTTGACTTTTATTTTTTTTATTCAAAATTGCCGATTTTTAGGCTACTAAATTTAATTTTGTTTATTTTGTGTGTCTTATTATTATAATTATTGCATTTTTACATGTGTGATAAGATGCTTTAGGACCTCAATCATTAAAATAGTGAATAAGTTAATTCAATACGCCGTAGTAGAAAAGAGAAAGTTAAGAAATTAAAAAAAAAATTAGAAAGTTTATTTTTCTCTAAGGGATATCTAAAAAAAATATTATGGCAGTTGATCGGCAGATAAGTTATAAAATATCTACGTTTCATCAGCTATCTAACAAGGTATAACAATCTAGGGTTTTATTTAAATGCATTGAAAAAACTTAGTTTCATAGGCGATAGTGGAGGAGAAAATTAATACTTAGCCCTAAAAAGTATAACAAAACAATAGGTAAGCATGCAAAGTATTTATTAAATCAGGTTTTCACACAACTTTTTGTTATTCTACAGTTCATGTTCAACATGGCCGCCTCTGTTTCTAATACATTGTCGCATTCTTCTACGGAGACCAGTCTTCACTACTCCAGTGGTTAACGTTGTCCTCATTTGATTTGCTGCATCCACAATCCTTTCTTTTAACTCTTCCACAGACGAAACTGGATTTGACTCGCTGTAGACAAGACTTTTCATGCGCCCCCACACATGAAAATCCATGGGGGTTAGGTCCGGACTTCTTGCTGGCCATGGCAACAGCCCACCTCGTCCTATCCATTTGTTTGGATAATTTGTGTCCAGCCAGTCTCTGACACTTCTCCTGAAATGGGCAGGGCAGCCATCACTTTTCCTGTAACCCTGTATATTAATATGTATGAAGATTATCATTTCCTAAGGTTAAATTACATTAATTGAATTTTAATTGGATAGTCATATTACAAAATTTAACAGTATGTGTTCGATAAAGATGTATGGAAAGACAACATGAGTCTAGATTCCACACAATTATGATTCAAAATGTTTTCCATAGCATTTAAGTTTATTTGAAAAGAGGTAATCCCTTTAGTTTCTTGCTCGTTCTTCTCAAGGAGGTCAGCGTAGTGAACGAGCAGCAGCTTAAAAAAACTACATAAAATTTTACGTAAGAAATAAATGATTATTTGAGTTTGATTTTGACTCGGAAGTCCATCACTACCTAAAAATCAACACAGTAAAGGAAGAAATTCGATCTTACGCTAATAAGTACAAAAAAGCAACTGCATCGCCACCCTAACCTGCTGGCAGGGAAACTGACTATCCCTGACTCAATGAGACGTCTAACGAGGCGCAGAATCCTAGAACTGGATCAAATAATTTAAAAATCCACCTACAATTGAAGGGGAGTCTCCTTCTGGGGAGTTGACGTTGCACACCACTAATCACGCAACTCATGTGCTCATAGTCGTCCGACTGATCGCACGATTACACGAAGAACAAAAAAAAATAACCTGAAAAATGAAACAAAAAAACAACTTAATTTTTTTTTTTAATTTAATTTTAGTTACAGTAGAAAAATTACATATTATAACATTAAATTATATAAAACGGTTGGTATCTATATAATTGTATATTAAATAAGTGTAACAACTATGAGACTTGTTCTCTCTTTTGCTATTTGCTGTGCCCTGTCCAGGGTCCATAATTTGATCTCAATATTAATACAAAAACATCTGTAATGTACATTATGGAGCGAAAATAAATAAGAATAAACTACGCCGATTTGACGCCGATCCGCCTTTATTATATTACGCCTCAGAAAACAGACTGCGGCTGCCGCCAACATTTTGCAACGGGGCACATGTCTAGTTCCACCATTTCCAGGTCCCTTGTCAGGATTTCACATTGAACTTGTTAATTTCACCAGGGGTTTATCGGAGCTGGACCGTTGGCGCGCCGCTTTTGAAAGACTGCAGCAGTTGTCAATATTGCGTGCAGAAACATGGCTGCTACGGCTTCAGACCGAAGTCACACTGGCACACTCTGCTGAGTCACGAGAACACATTGCATCTTTATTTCAACAGGCCGCACTAGATTGCTATTGTAAGTGTAATAACATATATTAAGCGATAGTTTTCCGTCTTGTTCTTTTTTTAAGGATTTGTCAGATTTTCGAAAAGCGTTAACTAATAATAATAATGTGCCAGACAACCACACCAATTGCCTGGTCTCGAGGAATTCCCTGTACTATGAATACCAGAGCAACGGAACTCGCTCTGGGGCACTTCCCAGAACACCCAGACTAGAACCAATTTAGAAAAGTTCATTTTCCAAATTAGTCCTGTCGGGAATCGAAACCGGGACCTCCTCATCCAGTGTCCAAGTTACAAACCGTTGGGCCACCATAGTCGTCAAAAGACTTTAACAAAATTCAAACGTGGTTCAGGGAAAATGTTTCTGTATAAAGTTAGTGGCTATCACTAGTGTAGCTGTAAGTAGTATTAAATTAAAAATAGTGTTGCCTCTTTATATTGTATTTTTAAATTATAATATTGTCCCATTGATCATATAAGAAAAAATAGTAACAAACAACATTAATATGAGGAATAAAAATGAACTGGCTGTTTTTGATAGTCTTTTTCACAAACTCACAAATTAAGGTAATGAACGATGTTTTAAAATTCTTTAATAAGATTATATTCAAAATTTACAATTCACTAGGTTTGAATTTAAAACTACAGTGAAACAAAAACATTATGATAAAGTCAGCTTCAGTGTACTTGAATGACAAAAACCATGGTAGTGACCGGTTTAGCTCTTGCTACACAAATATTTGTACACATTTATCATTTACAAAAATGATAAATGTGTACAAATATTTATTTACAAAGAACATCCCCTAGAGTGTCTTGTTCAGCAGTAGAGTTTTATGACGATTTTAAAGTATAATTTGCGTACCCATATAAAGAATGTTTGACTTTGATTATTTCAAAGAAATGATTTTAATAAAATTTTAAAAATATTATTTTCTATCATAGCTGTCATCTTCCAATTGGCAAGCCAGTGTAAAATATAATCATAAATTTGTTGAAGGGTGACAATGTCATTTTGTTCATTCCCCAGCTATCCCAATCCTCTCAGAGTGGTGTTCGTGGTCTTTAACGGGCCCACCGGACGCGGCGCGTGCGCAGCTCGAAGAAGTACTACGTCGTGGCGGTGCTGACCCGCTATCGGGGAAGCTGTTTTGGGATGCTAAATTGGAACTAGAGAAAACGCAGCTGAGTACTATGAGGTAAGGAAATAAACATTTTATGAGATTTTTAAAAGTGATGACCTAATTTAGTATTTAGCACTAAAATCTCTGTCTGGCACACAACACAACTGGATAGGCGTGTCGCTTACCACCAGGCGCACGAGTTGTTCGTCCCAACTTGGTATTATATAAAAAAAAATTTTGCTAAATAAGTATTTAAATCCATTCTGTCCGCTGTTCTAAACTTTTAAAATATACCTAATTTCAAAAAGTTATTTAAATAGACTAAAGAAAACTACTGTCTTACAAATTTTAAAAAAGGCGGCAAAACAAACGATAGTACTTTGAACTTCTTTTTTATTCTTTATATTTTTCATATTTTCTTTGCGAAAATGAGTTACAGCGAGGGATACTACACGCATACTATAAAACAAGAAGCAAAATGTGTTATACAAAACTTGTTTACTTGTTATTTTTTAGTCTTTTATTATTTTTTCCTTGCTTTGTTTGAGAAAAGCACTATATATGCCTCGGCGGGAACGGGAATGACTGACTCGTATACACTTCATACTCATCAGCCTGCAGAGCTAATGTACTGCTAATACAAATATTACTATAAATTATTAATACAAAGATCAAACAGTAAGAAAATTTTCTTAGATCCTGGATTCGAAGCAGCGCTATCAGCATTCCGTGTCTGATGCTCTTTGCATTGCAGATACTTGTTTTTGGTAGTTGCAACAAGAATCGATTGAAAGAATTTTTTCAGTGTTCGATCTTTGTATTAATAACAATTTGTGGAGAAGTGTCACAAAAGAAAATATGGTTGTTAAACATCGTGGTATCCAATAATCTTAATATTACAAATACTACTGTTAATGTTGTAGTGAAAATGACCCCGAGTACAAGGCGCAACAAGAACGCGTGCTGTGGTGTCTTGAAGAGACAGTGTCTCGACCTTTGCTGCGGTCGGCGGAGGCTTGGCCGCCATTGCAGGAGTTAGCTACGGCAGTGCGAGACGACCAATACATTGACAAGGTAATTACACTATTCTATTACATATAATAGAAATAAAAACCATTTATTGCAACGCCACATAAAACAAAAAAACAGAGTAGCAATATCTAAACAACAAGTTACATAACTATACAAAACGTAAATATAGACATGTGTGCGTCTGTGGCGTATGTAAAAGGATCCCCTTCGGCTAAAGTCACAACCAAGACTAGGCTGTGATGCTGGTTTTCAATGGGCCCTAGCCGAGTGACGGACATATGCGTCCCGAAGTGAAAACAAATACTTACGTCTTATGTGTATATGGTGTTATTGCAGTGTGTACTCTTATATCGAATAAATACTTACACACACGCATATATATATATATATATTAGCTCCGCACTAAGGAAACCCTGTGTCGCGGGTGCCATGGACACACATATAGACAGCCACAAATTACACCCAAACTCACGAGAGAAATAAATGTAGGCTATACAAATAATTCGCCCATCTCGGCAATCGAACCTGGTACCTCTACGTGGCAGTCCGACATGGTAACTGTTCGGCCATGGAGGCAGTTTAATAACTAATATAGAGTTATTACCTTTTAACGACAACGACGAAGAAATCGTGCGTCTAGTGCAGTGACACTCGGAGGTTTAAATTACAAAGAGGGACCCTGCCTCTGTACCCGTCACCCTGAGACAAGTTCCATATGTCTATAATTTCACCAGCACCTTTACCCTTCAAAACCGGAACGCAATAATTCTTGCATTACTGTTTTAGGTAACGTGCCAGTACTTCCCTGGACGAACTCTTTCACAAGGAGATCTACTGCTACTACATATATAAATATATGCTATGACCTCAAATATAGAAGATACTGTTCTGAGTAGTGCCCCGTAGTAAATTCTGTTGGTCTTGTACTCATAATACAGGGAATTCCCTACTTTGAGTCCACGTGATTGTTTAGTACATTATTATTATTATTAGTGTAGGCGGCAGAAATAGGTAAGGTGGAAGTACTTCCCTTTTCGAATTCTTTCCCAAGGATATCTACTGCTACAAACATTGTAACTTATATAACAGTATAGTTGGTAAGGGAGCGTGGTATGAAAGGTGTGACGTGACTAGGATAGAGAAGGGTATGCTTCGATGGTTTGGTCATGTAGAAAGAAGGAATGTTGGTAGATTGACGGCACAAATTTGTAGAGCTAATGTGGATGGAGGCATGGGGAGAGGTAAACCTCGGCGTACATATCTCGATCAGATTGAAGATGTCCTTAAAAAAGGCCGAATTAAAAGTACCAAAGAATAAACATGCATGAAGAGAATGATGGGAGTGGATGAGGTGGAGCAGGTATGTTAGGGTTGTTACAGGTCCTCGGTGTCTGTCTACACCAGAGCACGGTGATTCACGCTCCATACTAAGGCGGTCATAAATACGTAACTCCGAAATTATTATTATTTTTTTATTTTATTACGTTAAAATATGATTAGGTAAACGTAAATTAATAAAATTATACATTTTAAAAAATATTTGACAATATTTAGGTGCAAAAATGTCTCGCAGTAATTTTGTTTTTAGACGATGTATCTAAAACATTTTATACTGCGACTTTTAATGGTAAAACTGTGTAAATAATGATTATTTGTATTAACAATAACCACAAATGAATAAATTAAAACAATAAAAATACATAAAAAAGTTCATTTTACAAAATACAAACAAAACACAAATTATACCAAAATACATTAAATCTCAACAATATTAACTTTAAATACATAACAAGTCTAATACAGCTTTTGACAGTACACCTTTTTTTTAACAGGTAACTTTCGTAGACCTGTTATGAAGGGATCTGAAAGAAGAAGCAGCCTATTTACTAAATCTGTGTTGGTCACAATGCGACTCATTTTACGCGTATGATTTTTTCTAAAAGACTTGATGTATTTGTTAGTCGCTTCAGCTGCTTCTTCAGACAACTCTCCGATTGACAACAAACCGTAATCTATAACATTAGCACCATGAATTAGAACTTTGTGAACGGAAGCAGGCATGTTATACCACGGATACTCGGCAACTAACTGCCGAGCCGTCTCTAAAGCGAACTCTTCGAAGTTCGTCTTATTAATATTATATCCCGAATTTAAACATTGAAGGATGATCCAGCAACGATCTAGGAGATCCTTCTTGATCCCAGTAATTTCAGCGGAAATTTCTGAATTCGAGAAAAACCGCCTGGCTGTATTACCATCGTTTGATGTTCCGCTTCCGCCACTTTTAGGCTTATCCACTATAAGCCCTAATCTTTCTCTAAATTGAGTCTGAACATATGATTTTTTTGCAGCAACAAGCATTTTGTCATTAGCGGACCTAGCTTGCCATTTCCTAACATCTAACTTGTACGCGACATGAACAAAATATTCAAAAAAACGTATTAACGCGTGAAGAGGTGATAAACCAAATTCATATTTACTCTCATCGACTTCCTTATTTAAACATTCGTAAATTTTGTTCATTTCACTGGGCAAGGCGTTACAAATAAAACATTTTGATGAAGAAACACCACTAAGTGCATTACACACTTTACCATCTACCATAGTAAGTTGCAAACAATGAGTAATGCGATATTCGCGATCTTCTTCCTTGAAAACAGTAGGCTGCAAGTTCCTTATTTTATCTTTAAAATGAGCTTCTTCCTCAACTGACACTGCAGTCGATTCCTTCAAATATCGGAGGCGTATAGGACGACAGTATCGAGTTGATGAAGGACGAGGATTTTTCCACAAAACTACTGAATTTTCTTTGTTATCTGTTGTCAAAACAAGCTGAAGTGGCACATACGAAGTAACAAACAGGCTACTGTCTTCAAGAGTGGAGTCAGAAAAACACTGTTTATATTCTGAATGCCCTGTACTGCCATCGAAACCCCATTTCCCTATCAAAGATATCTTATCTAGAGACTCATTAGGTACACTATCCAAAACATCTTTTTGAGACTTGAGAATCCGATTGGCAGTATGATCTAATAAACTTTGAAGTTCGACTTCGGCGGATGATTCTGTAACAGTAATATCTGAAGGATAACAGTGTTTTTTAGATTCCACGACACTTTGGTAAGATGGGAAAATGGTTTTTGAAAACTTATTGTCTATAAATTTCTTTACTAATATATATTGATGTCGAGTTAACTGAGCTTCAACAATGAGCGATAAAACTTCGCTAGAATCGATTTCAGGACAAGACAAGCTATCGGACGCATTGAGCAATGACTGTACAAGAGAAGGGTCTTGGTTAGACAAACTAGCCAATCTTCTCCTTTTTGTACGTTTACTGGTGTCGTCAAAGTTAATTCTCGGACGGCCATGCGATGAAGAAGTTGATGGTTTAACTTCGTCAAAGCTCTGAGATACACGTAACTCAGTTCGCTGTACATCAATATTTTCAACGACATGCAGCCAATCTGAATATTTTTCTAAGAATTTAGATCTAGTACGATTCGACTTTGCCCAGTAGTGGGAAATTCGTTTACAAATATTCTTAATTTTAAGGCTTAAAGTCTCTAAATCAATATTTTCGATGTCGTCAGAAAGGGATGATGTTTCGGTCAAAGTGCTCAGGACGTGTTGCATTTTTTCATTTGGATTACCCACTTTAGAGTGCCAAATATCAAAAATTGTCATCCTCGATACAGAACATTTGAAAAATGTACCTAAAACAATATGAAAGCTGAACTTAAAAAAAAATTAAAAATTCAATACTATGGACATGCATACTTTGACACCCCTTTAAGCCAAGAAGAGGCAGCAAGATGCAAATGAAACTTATAGCTCTTAATAAGGACATACTCCTTATTCAAAAACCATATACCTCAGGTGCAGCTCAGCGCAGCCAAAAGTTGTAGGTCTAAAGGAAATTAAGTTATGCCAAAAATTTTCACCAAAAAACTGCCTTCAATAAAAAAATTATATAAAAAAAAGTATGCATAAAAAAAATTTAAAAAAATTGATAATAAAAGTACATACCATGCTCTTGGATCTCCATGCTTTCACAACACGTAAACACTTGATTTGGAATAGTGACACTCAAAAACAAAGTGATTAAGTTTCGATGACTCACACATGGTGATAATTAGTCTCGCGATGCGCTCACTTCCGATGCACAAAAGTGAATGATAACGTGACCTAATTACATTGATATTTATAGTTTTTGGAAGCTTGTTAACTAGTTACTAACTTAGTGAGTTGATCTAACCGGGATAAGCCAATGATTTTTTTTGATTTATGGCCTATGGGGGAATCACAGTGCAGAGGGAGGCATGCATTATGATATGTATGTATCATTGTATATGTTTATTTTATTTGTGTCTTAGAAGTACAAAATTGTATAATGAAGGTCTAAATATTTATAAGTGGATTTGTTTTTGTTACAGATAAAAAAACAACATGAGGCGGCTACAGATTACTTAGAGAAAATTTCACCATTTGAAGATAAATTACTAACATTAGAGTAAGTATACTTCGTCACTTGATTAATTCCCATACAAGATACGGAAATAATCTCGTAGTACCGACATCAAAATTAAAGTTGAATAAACCGAGCCCATACGAAATGCCAATAAAAATATACAACAAACTGCCCGAGAATATAAAACAAGAAAATAAAGCAAATAAATTCATTAATAACATAAAAAACACACTCACTAATGAAAGCTACTATATATACACTATGACTATATTTAGATGATAAATTTCTATAACGTTGACCTGACTCATTCCTATGTGCTGTGCCCTTGGAGGGTTCATTACTTTTTTTAAATATTGGATTTCCGTAACATCGTGATGGGAATAAGGAGGGGCAGGCTTATCATTACAATTTTGTAAACACATTGTATTGTATTTTATTACCTTTATTTTACTGCTTTTGTTTCTTAATATAATTGTAATTTGTATTTAATATGGATATATACTTGTGAATAAAGAATTATTATTGTTATTATAATATTATTATTATGTTTTCAGTGTATGCTTAATATAAGCTCTGAAGCTGTGTACATAAATGCAATTAATAAATAAATTGAATGAATTTCTAACCTAGGAACTATATTAACTTATCACTATGAATATCACAGGAGTGCAGATGAGAAGTGCAATGTGTACCAGGAGTACATAGATACAGTGAAGGAACTGTCGCGAGATGATAAGTACGCCGAGTGTGACAGTGATGGAATATTGAAGGTAAAGACCATTTTTTTACTGTTTTTATTTTATATTGTACTGCCCATATTTTGTCTGACGTCCAACAGCTACCACAAAATGTAGAATTGCTAGAAATAGGTCTCTGCAGTACAAATTTAAACTTAGCGCATGGACTGAGAAATCACTAACAAAATAACGTTATGTATTATAATCAGAGAAGACGTTCCTCAGCTAGAGGAGATCAAAACAGTCGAACCTAGAAGAATTCATAACACTGTTGACCTAGGCTTCAATTGTAATTAGTAATGAACATAGACAAATATGATCTGTGATGAAGGGCAGCACAAGCCCTAAATGGAGCATATAACAATAATAATAGTTGGCGACAAAAGTAAAAGTATATGTTGTCTATATATGTGTCCTTTCCACAACAGGCATTATCCGGGACACGTTCCTTTGAACAAGTTCGGTTAGGTTCCTTCACCAAACTGTGAGATATGTGCGACAACAGAAGACGTCTATTATATAATAATGGAGTGTGTTAGAAGTTAAGACAACAGATTCCGGACTTGAACGTTTTGTGCAGTAGGCGCATGCAATAGCATCTTGGCCAGTCCCTTGTCTAAGAAGGCTAGGATGTTGTATAACGTGAAATTAGCGATACCTACATTGTAATACTTCAGTTACGCCCCTATGGAGGTGGCATGTCTATAAAGATAAAACCCCCTTTAAAAATAACGAAAAAACAACCCCCAGTTTCAAACTATTAGATACTTGCCGATTTTGTCAAAAAGTTCATACAGATAGAACTAGATGAAATTGGATTTTATTATAATACACCCTCAACATACATACACACCACGCTGCATTTATTTGAATTTGCTTGGCAAATGCAATTAAAACCAGCCAATAGGCTGAAATAGCGTAATAATAATAATGCAAATCAAATAAAGATTATTGTCAACAGTTATATACAGCCTGTCTTTTTCAAGATGGTGTAAAATTACAGTTCATTGTGCACTAGTGTTGTTCGCTTGCAGGCAGCTAGTGATTGTAGTCGATAAATATTCTATCGAATATCGACTGAACGTTGGTTACGCTTATGCAATAAATAGCCGAACTTGCCTCATTTGAATCATCATCGGCTAATTAGTCGTCCAAATGCTGGGCGCAGGTTCATTTGAATTTTCAATTTTTGTAAATTCACAAATACATACGTTACATCTACAACTAAGTATGTTAAAAATACAAGTGGTGATGTAATATTTAAAAAAAATTAATTTTAATTCAATTTAGATAATCAAATTCGCCTGCCCTTATTAAAATGTATATAAATAAAATTTATTTTGATACTGTCAAAACATTTGCAATTCAGACATTTTTGGCAAAATTTAATAAAATAAAGATAAAACTGTGGACATCAACTACATGACTATTTAAAGTTTTATGAAATCTGGGAACCCTGCAAATATAATTTTACTCAATCTACAAAAAAACCATAGTTCTTGCATAATCATTTTTTAAAATTCAACATTAAATGCTGTATGAGACGTTATTGACTTTAAAAAAATAATGTGTTTGTACTTGTAAATTTTTTAAAGGAACATCTATTTATCAGGTATTATACGACCGAGCTACGACAGAATGTCTATCATGCTCCCAGGCCTTGCCTTTTCTTCAATCGTGGGCGCGTCTAGCACAACAGAGGTCATCTAGAGCCACATACGGTCGTGTGCTAGACGCGTGTACTAGGAGGTGCCCGACCCAGCATGTATTTTGGACCTTGAAAATGCAGCAAGCCGAACACGAGGGCAAACATTTTGATGAGGTAAACAATTTGCTTGACATGATTTTAATAAGAAAAAATGTAAGTGCTCTCAGGTTTTCGCTATGGTTATTGGTACATAGGTTATTAAACATTTTTTCACATCTAAATCGCGTATTTTTTTTGGCAAATAAACCAACGTTTCGGGCCTTTTACGGATCCCATAGTCAGTTAGCTGTGACTCGCAAGGTTCTGAAACGTTGACTTGTTTGTAAGAATAAATATACGCGATTCATACTACAAAAACTCCACGAGGAAAAACACTTTAAAAGCAATATAGGATGGTCGTTGAGTGAGTAGATTGGTGAAATTACAGGCACTTGGAACTTGTCAAATAATGTCTCAGGGTGATAGGCGAAGTGGCAGTGTCCCTCGGATCTTTGCGGTTTAAAGCTCTGAGTGGCACTGCAACTTTTATGGACAGGCGTGTAGCTTACCAGCAGGAACACGCCTTGTTCGTCCCGTCACTTGATATTATAAAAAAAAAATTAAGGAGCCTGTGAGTGCGTCTAGAAGCCATTAAATGCGGTGCAATAAATTTCGCGTTTAGTTTTGTTTTGTGGCATTTTATCCTGGAGATCCTTACAGAGCAGTGGTGTTCTCTCTCTGTTTCTGGCAAAAGATATAATATATCGAACCCTACTTTCTTTGTGGAACCGTCTACAGCAGGTTTTCTTAACTTGTAGTCCATGTGGACCCATAAGGGGTCCGTGTTATGAACGTCGGGGATCCATGACGTGCCTACCTAACATAATGCATTAATATAAAAATGTTTATACAATGTGTTGTGAGTATTATGTGTAGGCGCTGTGCGCGTGACCTTTGAATTTTCGCGCCCTTTGACAGCCATCCATTATTGGAGCGAGGGAGACGTGTGTCACTGTACCCTTCGGGTCTTCGAAACTTAGAGATGACTAGAAAAATGTTAAGAAAACCTGATCTACCGATTTCAAGACTTGTGGTCTAGTAGCACTATGAGAGCCCTGATATAGGTTTGGTTTCGGTGGTGTCCTTGTGTAATGCCACACCTATCAAAATTAGACCGAGTAACTTTATCGCCTTCCAATTTTAGTTACTTTTTTAATTATATTTCAGACAACATAATACAGGCTGTATATTTGAAAGTGGGACATACTTCTAGAGTGCGTTATATTCCTGATTCTCAACCCAAAGAAATAATAAACTAATGAACTTAAACTTTACAAAAAATATTTTTTAATTTTTTTTTATCGACTACTACTTGAGCACAACATTAGTTATCGAAATTTATGCACATCACTATTATTGCTCCGACGCAGCGGCGAAAAGCAAAGCCCAGGTCGGGGGTGAGAACGCGGGCGCATACGCGAAATTGCTCAGTCCACGCGCGACCTTGATCTAACGAAGACACGTAAATTATTTATCCTTCCGCTCGCCCGATCGCCGCAAAATGGGTATTTATTCTAACGTGGAATTGACTGAGATGGTACGACTTTACGCAATAAGTGGTGATAGTGTGAGGCAAGCTATTGAAATGTTCCCAAATCGGAGTTTACGCGGAGGAGGTGAACAGTGTTTCGACACTGTTGCGTTGCGTGAGAGGATTATCTCAGCATTTTATACTGTGAGACAAAATGTGTTTGTGTTGTACAATTTAAAACAAAATTTACTATGCCGTGCTAGACTATGCATTGTGGAAAACGGTGGACATTTTGAACACTTGCTCCGTACCACGTAAGTGTAAATAAACTGTAAATAACTAAAAAATCAATCATTGTAATTAATTTGATTTCACATTTTTAACTACGCCAAAAACCTCAATTCTTATTAAATGATAACTACTTATCGAGTTCTTAGGTTTTCGCGATTGTTACACATAGGAAATGAAACTATTTTTCCGTAATTAACATAACCTAAAACGTAAATGTGAAATCATTGTTATTGTTGCTGTCTCACTCGGCGCTCGCTTGGTAGCATTCCCATTGCACTCGAAATTAAGCGTAAAGGAAATCGGTTTATTCCTATCTACACTTCAAAACACATTTGTTGATTTATTTTTTGTTCTATCCCATATCCTAATTTTATTTCAGTCTATGTTAAGTTGTAACATGATTTACTATGACATGTATGAATATGTCTCACTTTCAAAGATACAGCCTGTATATTAGGTCCACAATTGTGTTATTTACTTAATAATAACAACGATTTCATCAAGTGAGTGAGTATCCACATAAAAATTCCAATTTCTCAAATATCACCTTCAAGATGTTGTTACACTTGCAACAGATTACACAATAATCTGTTCTCTGACAAAATAGTGACGGCTGATTGGAGAATATAAGTGCGTCAATATTACACGGCTGTATTTTGTCTGTGTGTCATGTCTGGTACATACATTGTTATAACTTTTAGGTAAAGGCAATATTCGAAACAGCACTATCCAAAGGCATGGAGACGTATAAACACGCCGAATCGCTTTGGCTGAGTTATTTGGAGTTCATCAGACGGTGCACAGCATTTGATAATGAGGAGGACGTTGAGAGGTTAAGACGTACATTCCGACTTGCCTGGGATTCACTTGCTGAGGTACGGATTTCGGCACTCATACGACCCCTCCCACGTAAAGTATCGTATGTCAAAATTGCCAAGTTTGCAGGGGAGCCTTTTAAAGTTCTGAATTCACTGAAACAAGCATAACACGTTACTTTAGATTTCTCACTTTTATTCGGCAAATCTCGTTACACACGTTGAGTATCATAAAATCCTAGATATCGGTTAGATGATCTATTAGATGATCACTCTATGTGAGTAGCAAGCCTTGCCGAATGAAACGGAGAACTTTAAAACACTCCCATGTAAACTTGGCAATTTTGACATACGATACTTTACGTAGGAGGCGTCGTATGTAATCTTACCGTATCAACTGCCACAGTGGCCGAACGGTTAGTATGCTGGTCTGCCACGCAGAGGTCCCGGGCTCGATTCCCGGGCCGGGAGAAATATTTATATGGTTTTTATCTCGTGAGTTTGGGTGTAATTTGTGGTTGTCTATTCACCCACGATACAAGGTTTCCCTAGTGATGTAATGTAAGTATGCGTTATTTATTATTATTTATTTACTATCTTATATTATAGTGCCCTAACCGTGTAATTTGAAAGCCAGTATTCAGTTGTGAATTGAATATCAAATTATCATTTAAGAAATATTTGTAACGCCTACATTTATTTCTCTCGTACGTTTGGGTGTAATTTGTGGTTGTCTATTTGTGTGTCCATGGTACCCGCGATACAGGGTTTTCCTAGTCCGGGGATATGAGTGTGTGCGTTATTATTATTATTTCCGAAACGAATTTTGAAGTTCTTGATAAATGCACGTAGTTGAGAGTGCAATGTCAAATTTCATTTCCGAAACTAATTGTCAAACTTCTAGAAAGCTGAGAAAAACTGTAGAAATTACAGGCACATGGGACTTGTCAACTTAGTGTCTCATGGTAACGGGCAAAGTGGCAGTGTCCCTCAGATATTTACGATTTAAAACTGACTGGCGCTGCAATTGTTATGGATAGGCGTATCGCTTACCAACAGCTGCATAACTTGTTAACTTGATAACTGCGTTCTCGTCACTTGAAATTATAGAAAAATACAAAATAACTAATCACATTTTATCAACATTTTGCAGGCATGGGGTACTGAAGCCAATGACTGCGAGATCCCCCTGTACTGGGCGCGTCTGGAGTACAAACGCATGCATGATGCTAAGCAGGGAAAAGACATATTTGAGGAGATATTCCGTTAGTATTTATTAGATAAATTACGAACCACAATAAAGTACTGAAAAAGGACTATACAAGGCGACACACGGCTATGGGACAATGGGGGGAAAGTACTTTAAATATAGGAATAGATAGGAATTGTTTAGTTTCATGGAGACAATTTTATTTTTAAAAGTATATAATACTGCATTCAGTCTTTTAAAAGTTGCTTGCATCATCTGGAAATCGAACCGGCCAAACATTGACCTACTAACAAATGGACGTCGGGTTCGCGCTAAAAAGTGTCCGCACCTATAGGGCGTTAAAATCACATACAGAGCGTCAATCGCGCAACAGTCTTCGTTTGTTCGACTGACAGCGCGGTTGTCATTCATGCAGTACTATATAATAATAACTTGTACCAAATAACTGCAGTAAAGTGTTAAAACAGGATTTTGTATCATATTTTCACTAAACAAAGTATATTATGTTAACATGTTATCATTTAAAAGTGTCATTTTGTACAGTTGTATAGTATTTAATTTCTATGTACATGAATCTTGAATATAAATTACAAAAACAAACAAAATAATCAAATAGCTAACTCTCCTTTTTCTAGACATTGCATGCGCAAAAGATGGAAAGATACCCATTACGTCAATTTCATGAAGCTTATATAAACTTCTTGGTCATTTTCAATTGTTCGTACCACAAGCGCTTGAAATATTTAGAACAAAGAAACTATAGAGTCGCTTTGATTTTAATCTTATTTTTAAAATGTTTTTTTATTAAATGTTAGCATTAATTAACAAAATAGTGTTGTACTCGTTTTACGGCTTGGGATTACCTATCAGAAGTCAGAAAATACATTTGCCCGGAATAACGTTAGCTAGAATTTTCATAATGTCAAATGTATTTTTTTAGGATTATTACAAAACAAAAGTTAATTTTGCATTTGTGAAAAGCATCAAAATTACTTGAAAGCGTAACGGTTTTATTATAAATCGGTTTTAGGAATTACGGATATGTGAGTTTACGTTTAGTTGGAACATCGGTACATTTCTTTTAGACACGCTTATTTTCACATTTGCAATATTTGTTTGTATGTATCTGCCCAACCCTTTATTATTTCTTTAAGTGAATTTGTACAAAATTCGACACAATAATATATATATATTAAATGAATTAATATTTACAATAAAGGCTGCTCCATTACTCTTGTGTTCAAGTAATTTTCAATTGAAGCTATATATGGTGCATTTTGTTAAGTTTCCAGTAGAAGCTGAATATAGGCAGTACTGCAATGACGTTACAATTTAAATTAAATGTTTTGGTTTTTTATATATTTCATTACATGTCACTACGTTGGTTTAAGTTAACTTCGGAAATTTTTTTTTGTGGGTTTCGTATTAGACCCGACGTCCATTTGTTGGTAGGTCAATGCGGCCAAATGTGAAAAAGAATATCCATCGAAATCCAACCATCTTTATATCATATGTACCAATGGAAAGGTATAATTATAGGTATGAATTTCTCATAAATAATGTAGTATCTACCGTTATAATTCTGTAATTGGGTGATCTTCGGCCATACAGGGAAATCTGTGAAAACGCGGACCGTGAGAGGTCGCCTTGAGACGTAAATATGTCCCTTTAGATCACAGAGAGATAAAAAAAAGATGAGAATATTTCAAGCCCAACCCGAAAAAATAGTTGAAAACACGTATTTTTTATATTAAGTTAAAACAAAAAAAAATATGAAAAGAATGTATATCTTTGTAGTTTGTATAGATAATTCAGGTTTTTTCAAATGCGGTGGCAACCTTTGGACAGCTTTAACGCTCCCCAAGGACTCTTCAGCGCCCACTAGTGGGCAGTAGGGACCACTTTGGGAAAATATCGTTCGTGGTTCGCATTTATAAGTGAAGATATTTACGACATTTGTTACGTAATGACCAATTTGTGAGAATGGTATTTGAGGGGAGGTTAGAAGGGAAAAGAACGAGAAGAGGACCAAGAATGACGTATAATGAATATACAAAGAGGAAGGTCAAATTGAGCAGCTATAAACAGGTCAAGGAACTGGCTATGAACCGTGAGGAGTGGAGGAGGCTACACCGACAAGAGCCTGGCTCTAAAACAGGATTATGATAATGATAATGCATAGGATTCCTTTCGCACACCACGTAAAACATAAATTTATTTCAGGATATGGTGAGAATAAAACAATGTCCAAATACTGGGAAGTATTCATCTTACTAGAATCAAGTCGAGATCCGCCATTATCAGAGACTAAACTAAGAGACCTGTACAGACGAGCGTTGAAGTTCGTCACAGACTACCCGCCGGCTGTCGCACGATTGTGGACCGACTATGAGAGGGATTATGGGGCATTGCCTACGATGCGAGAGTGTTCCGAAGTATGTGAGGTAAGTACCAACTGTGCATAAAATATAGATAATTCTCATTTTATGGAAAGATTATTTACTCGCAGCAGACTAGGCCATGACCTTTGCCGGAGCAGGACAGCGATATTGCGCGCACTCTCTTCCCTTTTACAGTAGGGTACAATTCTTTTGTGTAAGTGCAGGGCTGTGCATTACGGCAGTTCATAATACTATCCTATCGATAAACTTTGTTGTAAAATAGAAACAGAAATAAAAAAAATGTTTCTTTCTGTTGTTGAAAAATGTTTCTAAATACATACAATACAAAATTAAATACATAAATTTACAATATTAGAAACCTGAAATTAAGTTTAGGAAAACCCTGTGTTGCGGGTACCATGGACACCAGTGGCGAGGCGTCCATATAACTCGATTCCCACCGGCTTGCCTAAAATTTCCCGCGTACCTGTTACCAGTTGTACCACGCATACCCCACCACTTAACAGACGTTTATTCAAAATATTCACTATTAAACGCGTAATAACTTGTTCCGATGCACCTCAACCAATCAGCGCGAGGTAAGCCGGCGGATCGGAGAGTTCTATTTAATTCATGAAATCTACGCGCTTCCATCAAAATATACGCACACATTCGCAAAAATCCGCTTTGTAACATATAAAGAAATGGCGGGAGATAAGCCGCAACAATTCGAGTTATTGTTGAATAGCGTACACTTAAATTTAAGCCTTATTCCAACAAATTATAGTTTAATTTGTTTTAATGTTACATTGACCTATTGGTAGGTCAATGTAATGTTAGAATCGTTGCCAGATGTAAAACTTTCTTAAAGTAATGTAACAAAATTATTATAAAAGCAAATTAATACAAAATACGGTTAATTTCTATTTTGTAAATCTTAACGATAAATAGTATATGTATCTATATTTTTGGGTGTTTCTTTTTAATAGGACTACGTAACGAGTGTATGTAAAAGGTCATGGTAATTCGTAGGTAATTAAAATAGCAACACTTATTTTATGTGTACAATAAGTTATCCTGTGAAATGAAGTGAACTAGTATCTTGTGTCCTAACAAGTGTTGTGTTTAAATGTCGCCAAGCGCCTTTTTAACGCAAAAAGATTTTTTTGTTAAAGTAAGTGTTTTTGTTTTTTCAAAAACTTACAGCTTCGGCTTTACCAAGAAAAATTTTCACGCCTCGCCACTGATGGACACACACACACACATACGCAACCACGTATTACACCCAAACTCACGTGAGAAATAAATGTAGGCCATACAAATAATTCTCCCGGCCCGGGAATCAAATCTGGGATCTCTGCGTGACAGCCCAGCATGGTAACCGTACGGCCACAGAGGCAGTTATAATATATATATGCTATATTCAGATATTCACTACCAAAATAAAACAATTGATACTGTTTACTTGATCACTTTTAATTTTATAGTAATGTTTTCGAATTAATTAACATATTGTTACTCAGCATTAGCTCATCTTAATATAATTGCTACTTTGGTGTGCCATGGTAATTTTTAATATGCATTCATCGGGATGCGTAGAGGAATCAGGGGTAGGCCTTTGCCCGGCAGAGAGATACACCAGGAATATTGTTGATGAAGTTCATTTATTCATAATAAGCTTACAAATTGATATGTTATGTTAAAAATGATTTTTGTTTGTTGATTAACGTTGCTTAACCTGTCTACATACGGTAAAACTAGATTCAAATTGTAGATTTATCATGTTCGATTATATTGTAGAGGAAATAAGTGATAAAATTGTTTACTCTATTGAACTGGTCCCTTTTCTCATTTTGGTATGATATTGGTATACTTCCCCTTTGTATCAGTAAAAGATATAAGACAAAACTTAGAGATATTCAGCAACACGTAATGTTGCAGGCTAAAATAAAAGAATGGCGCGACAACTACCAAGCGTTAAAAGACAAAATGACGGGTAAAAACCAGAAAGGTAAACAGCAGAACAAAAAAAACAAGTTGGATAAACAAAAGAAGATCAAAGATGAACCAAAGAAAGGGAAAAGAAAATCGGACAGTGGTGCTGAAACATTTGAGGTGAAAAAAAGACGGGAAGATATGGAGGTCGATGAGAGGGAGAGAGACAGAGATAGTGGGATAAAACGTCCTCATGAAGACGAGAAAGACGAGGATGAATGTAAGTATAGCTATTGATTAATCGTAAAGCACCGTCGTACACTCCACTAAAAGTGTATAAACCTAAAAAAAAATTTTCGTCCATTCGCGTTTTGGACTTGCGCAGTTTTACACGAAATTATAAACGCTAAAACTTTCGAATTTTCTCGCGATGAAGCTTGACAGCCCCGTATAAACGGGGTTGCAATATAAATGTTTATAGATCCTTCGATATGTTCGGTGGATACAAGCTTAGTATAATAAGACAAGTATTGCTACTCCAGCTTGTTCGACGCGTCAATGCCTGCTACTAGGGTTGTCACATTATTAATTTAGTTTTACATATACATGGTTCCCGTCTAAGGAGATGGTTTGGGCCATAGTCAGACGCTGGCCCAATGCGAGTTGAAGACTGCACACATTTTACAAAGATTGTGAGCCTTATTCGACGTGCAGGTTTCATCACAATGTTTTCCGTGACCGTTAGGGCGCGTTCCCATTATATCATAACGTTTTATTTATCGTTGAACGACTGTCGCGTCTAGCCTGTTCCCATATCACGACGATCTGTCGTGACTGTGTCGTGAACGTTTATTTTATCGTTGAACGACTGTCGTGTCTAGCTGTTCCACACTAGATCGGGACGGCAATTGATTGGTTCACGGCAGCCGCCTTGCCGTTTGCACGACATAATCGTTTGAAGTTGCGATTATCTGTCGTTACATTTTTATCTTGACCTTTTATTTGTCGTCAGACGATTGTCGTTCTAGTTCTTCCTATTGTCTCGACAGTCTGACGTCGTAACGTCAAAAAAGTCGTGAACGACAGTTAATCCTTATGAACTGTATGTGAACAAATTCATTTAAATGTACAAGCCACGATCTGTCGTCACGACATAATGGGAACGCGCCCTTACCAGAATTTTGTCACGAGTTACGACCACACTAGTCCACAACCAGTGACACAAAGTTACTTAACTTGAAATTCTTCATTCAAATTCATTTTTTGAAATTGAATTTAGAGGTACATGCTACCACATGGACCCTAACCGTCGACCTTTCAGTGAGGCAATCGTTCTCCATTTAGACTATTACCGCTCATTATGTAACATACGTTATGGGTTGATGATGATGATGAATATGATTTAAGCCAAAGACAGCAAGCGCCAGAGGACGGATAGCGCGTCGAGCAGCGCCCGGGCCGGCACCAGAGACGCCTGCACGCTCTTCGTTAGCAACCTCGAATTCAAGTTAGTTAAATTCAAATTTTTTATTTTATATATTTATATGTATAGGAACTGAAACTATTTTTCCGGATTTAAATCGCGCATATCGGTCAACTATGATCATGGGACTTGTAAAAGGCTCGAAACGTTGGTTTGTTTAAAAAAACAAATACCTATACGCGATTTAAAATCGGAAATAATAGTTTCATTTCCTATGTGTAACAATCAATGCGAAAACCTAAGATTTCAAATATATATTTCACTAAAAACGAGAAAAAGTTAAGGAAATATTTTTTTTATGGAAATAAATTAAAAAATTAAATTAAATACATTTTTTTATATCATGAAAGTAGTATAAAACTTCGGCAGTATGCATATAATAAACTTAGCTTTGCAATTCTGCGAGCAATTCTGTGCGTCAATATCCTATCACGAAACGACCACGACAACCCTGCATTCCATTATCGCAATATTTTATATCTCTTACAATATCTTGGACCCGATCCTTAGGCTTGGTTTGCTTTGGTACTTGGGTGCAACTCATAGAGGCCCGCGTGAGCTTCCGCGAACATGAAATAAATAAATTTTAAAATCAGTAATTATTTTTCCAGGGTAGACGAACAGAAGCTCCGGGACGAGTTGTCCAAATACGGCGACATAATGTCGCTGCGCGTCAAGACTGGCATCAAAGCTTTCGGAGGCTCCATATGCTACTGCCAATATAAGACTCCGGTTCGTATATTCTTTTTAATTTATAAATATAGTTTAAGAAGGTTAAGCAGACAGAAGTAGGGCTACCTTGTGAAGTCCTTAAGATACGAATCTAATTCTGCGTGGCTGCGTCTGAGGCTATTTTGGAATCAATTGTCTTTAATAACCCCGCTTACGGGAACTTCTCATACTGGAGGTTCTTCTTATCGTATCAATGAGGTACATTATTGCCATTCATACGATATTGCTTGCCGTCGTGGTGAAAGGAATTGCCAATCGGCGTAAGGTACAGGCATCGAGTATATAACCAGAAATAGAGACGAAATGTCATTTAATTTGTTTGAAAACTATTCTGCCATATCATTACTGTGACAACTGCGCTCTGATTGGCTAGCCCGAGTTCGAAACAATTGACGGATGTCGTCAATGGGTGTCAACTGTTTTACTTCAAATCGACCAGTTAACTTGAGCTTTGCTATAATGGACGAAAATTGCAAAATTACATATTTAATTACCGATGAAATGTGATTCTGTTTGTTTTGTAAGTAGATGTTTTGCTGTTTTTCCCACGCCACCAAATAGAACAGCACGGCATTGTTAGAGATATTATCTTTATTACAATAAATACAGAATATTTTTTGGAATATACGGAGACGTACACACAAGTCAGTAGTTGGCCTGTCTATATTTCAGTGCAAACGGGAGTTGATATTTATAAGAGCTGTATCGCTAATGTGTTACCAGGAATATATGGCCCTTATTTCGTCTCTATTTCTGGTTGTACACTCGATGGGTACAGGAAACCTATGGTATGTTGCGCGGGGAGGCTCTTTTCGTGCACCCTTAATGTAAATACAGCTATATTTAGTAGCAGTAGAGCTCCTTGTGAAAGAGTTCGTCCAGGTAAGTACTGCCTTACCTATTTCTGCCGCCAAGCAGTAATGTTGGCATTACTGCGTTCCGGGTTTGAAGGGTGAGGGTGCTGGTGATATTACAGGCACATGGGACTTGTCAACTTATGTCTCAGAGTGACGGACGCAGTGGGATTGCCCCTAAGATTTTTGCGATTTAATGCTCTGAGTGGCACTGCAACTGTTTTTTTATTTATTTGTTTATTTATTCACAATACTAGTTTACAGCGGAAGCGAAGACACTTATATGCTAGTCAATATATAGTTAATTATATGCTTAATTACAGTTATATTACATAGGTACTCTGTTTTGGATTCTTAAAAATTCGTTGAGGAACAAAACAGCATATTTCAAGAATTCGTTTGAACTGTCATGGAATATGTCGGCACGTGAGTGTTGTGTGAGCAATTGGTTAAGCAAAGAAGTCGCCCGAGCAGTAGGTGCCTGTGCACCACCGCAGGTGCGCGAGCGAAGCGTCGCGAACAAGCGCCACACGCGCCTCTGTAGTAAGCACCACCGACGCGCAAATATCGCTCAAGGACAAACAGACTCACCCGAGATACCACTTTCGTGTTGTCAAGCCCACCATTAAAAACAGCGTGATAATGCATTATGAGCATTAGTTCACGCCTCAGTAATAAGCTGTCTAATCCAATCATTCCGTATACAAACAGAAGGGAAAAGATACGGGTAAACATTGTACATCTTTTTATACGCAAATCTTGCAAACCTCTTCTGCACCTTCTCTATCATGTCACTGTATGTGGTTTCGCGAGGGTCCCACACTAGAGCTCCGAATTCCTACACACTGCGAACGTATGCGTTGAAAGGCATCAATGCTACCTGGACTCGGTGAAAGGATAAGCTGTTCTCATAATAAACCCGTGTCCGGCTTGCCTTTTTGCAAATTGCTATAATATGATCTTTGAAAATAACCGCGAACTTAAAGTCAAACCGAGACCCCTAATCACCTCCACTCGATCAATCGCAGTATCGCCTATGCTATAAGTAGCAGCGTAAGTTGGTACTCTTGCAAAAGTGATGACTTTGTACTTGGATAAATTGAACTGAAGGCGGTTTGTCCGTGCCCTCTCCTCTCTGCAGTGATGTCCTCCTGCAACTTATTGCTACCCCCGGTCAGTCTACATCGATGTGTAGCTTAAAATCGTCAGCAAATAGTAAGCATTATGCGTACCGAACTACTGTAGGCAAATCATTGATCATCATCAGAAACTGTGTAGGACCCAGCGTACTCCTTTGACTAACTCCTGATAGAGTATAATAAAACTCAGAGCGACAGCTGGCAAATTCACTCTCTGAACATATTGACTCTCTGAGGTAGCTAGCAAAAAAGTTTAAAAGTTTAGGGTTTAATCCAAATTCAGCAAATTTTGAAAGTAAGATCTCATTGTCTACTAAATCGAATGCTTTTTAAAAGTCGAAGTACGCAATATCTACTTGGGATTTACCATCTAATTTTGATAATTTGTAATCGGCGAAATTTCTATGATTGGTTGTAGTGGATCTCGAAGATCGAAAACCATGTTGGCAGTCAGTGAGCAATGGATGAATTTGTCGTTTTGGGCGTGAATCGATGATACTTTCAAACACCCTTCCGAACACTGAAAGAACCGCAATTGGTGTGTATGATGTGATATCTACCTTGGAAGTTTCCTTGGGTATTGGTGTTACTCTTGAGACTTTGACACGTTTGGGGGTAGTGAGAGTTTTTAAGAGCAGTGTTATACAAATGCAATAGCGGAACCTCAAGAACAGAGATACAATCTTTGACTATGAAAGGCGGTATAAAGTCGGGTCCAGGAGAAGAACGGGTGTTTAATTTCCCAACGGAACGACAAATATCTGCGACAGTTAATTTGTTTATACGAATATACGACGTCGACGCACCACCGGATATTGCAGCCTTTTCCGCAATGAGTTCTGGCATGCGGTTCAAGAATACGGAGCTGAAATGTTTCTCAAATGCGTTAACTGCGTCCTGCCCCGAAACGATGCTACCCTCATAGTTAATTTCAGTTGTGTGTCGTCGATCATTTTTTCTGTCTTTAACATATTGCCAGAAGGCTGCGGGGTCCCTATCTATATCCTTTTTTGTTTGTGTACACTGAAGAGATCAATATTTTCACTTTTTTACGGTAACATTTATACAATTCATGATTTAATTGCCAGCCTTCAGCCTTATAGATCTTTAAATTGTAATACTTTTGCTTTATATTGTCAATTATTTCGGCCGTATACCAATTTGGATACACATAACGGCTGTTACAGTTTTTATTTCGCTTAATAGGCCCGTGTTGTGAGATTGTACCATTCAGAATAGAATAATCTTGCTCCACAACACCATCCACATCATGCTCCCCCAGCATCGTTGACCAATCCGCTTCAGCGAAACCCGCTATATCTGGGTTTAAGTTTGCTTTATAAAAGTTCCATCCAGGAAGTGCATGATCGTCAATGTCACCATGGTTAACGTCAGTTATCATCAGTCAATGGACAGTCGTGTAACTCACCATCAGGCGCACGACTTGTTCGTCCCGACAGTTCTTGTTATAAAAAAAATCGAGGGAACAGCCGAGTTATCGACTAAATAAAATAAATCAGAATGAATAATATGTTCACTTTTTATTATTGCTCATTAATAGTCCAGATTTTTTACGTTACTAAGTGATTAGACGTACAAGTCGTGCGCCTGATAGTAAGCGACACGCCTGTCCATAACAGTTGCAGTGTCACTCGGAGCTTTAAATCGCAAAGATCTGAGGTGCACTGCCTCTGCGCCCATCACCCTGAGACATAATGTAATTTCACCAAAAAATACTAATCAGTCTAAAAATAGCCACACCAATCACGTGGTCGCAATGTAGGGAATTCTGGGGCAGTACCCAGAACACCGGGACCTATTCTCGAAGCACGAAATCCGTAGTTACGGTTTTTTACTCATTAAGGATGACCTAAAGACTTCGATCGGGGCTAGAATTAAGAATGTATGATAACGCGATTTGACAGATCGAACGGGTTCAGGGGTCATTTACTGTCAAATAAGTAATTAGCATCTTCCAATCATCTCTCCTGTAAGCCAGAGCCTTGACCTCCTTATATGACACGACACCGGCCTTTTCCTTTATTTGATCTATATAACTGCGCCTAAGTCGACCTCTTCCCCTCTTCCCCTCGATCTTTCCCTCCAAAATGGTCTTAAAGAAGTTGTCGTGTCGTGTCAAATGACCATTCATTTTCTCGCGTTATACTCTATAGTGTTCAGGATCGTTCTTTTCTCGTTTACCATTATCAATACTTCCTCATCAGTTTTCTTTTCTATCAAACTGATGCCCTTCATTCTCCTCCAGCACCACATCTCAAAAGCTTTTCATCATCTCTTTATGTTAGTCTCCATGTATTGCACTTTATGGATGTGAACATCCATAAAGTGCAATACATGGAAGTTGGAGTATACATGGAAGTTGGAAAGTTGGAGTATTGCACTTTATGGATGTGAACATCCATAAAGTGCAATACTTACACCCTAATTGGATGTTTCTTGCTCTTGCTTGAAAATATGCGTGATTTTAACAATTATTTTTTAAATAAGTAATATTCGCCAGAATTAAAAGACTCTTGATGCAAACCAGAACCAAGTCAAAAATAGTTATTTTTGATACAAGTGCGGAAAGTTAGTCATTATTCGCGAATCTCGAGACAAGTGAAAATGACAAATCCACAAGTGTATCAAACGACTTTTTTTTTTGCGAAAAAACTACATTGAAAGTAAAATAAAACAGTATATTTTAGTGGCGCGACGCGCTGCGGTCTCGCGTAATACTCACCTCCGGTCATTATTAATACGCAATCTTTATGGAAAATATTTTGGTATTTTTACCCGTTGTTTTATAAAACACCTATGCAATTTAAACAAATAAGATGTTTGTAAGTAAATATAAGTTTTAATGACGAATGACTTACGTCACAAAGCACATAAATATACAACCTCTTTAGTTCTATGTTTAAGACTTGAAACAACAGTAAATTTAAAAAAAAATGGAAAAGTAAAAAGCACTAGTGCGAAAAATCCAACTTTCGGCACGATTAGTAGTACGAATACCACGTTTTGGGCAACTGTATTAAAAAGTTAATTTTCCAAATATCCTACCGGGATTCGAATTCGAAGGCGCCTCATCCAGCGCCCACAGTGCCAACCGTAGGGCCAACGAGGTCGTCAAACAACATATTTACAAAAGAACGAACGATATACTTGGAACGTGTTATTTTTAAAATAACTTTTCCTACAGGAATCAGTAGACGAAGCTCTCAAACACGACAGGACCCTTCTTAATGGTAGACCGATGTTCTTCTCATCATATTCGGCGAAAAAGACCAAACAGTCGTTCAAGTACGCCACTGGAGAAGAGAAGAACAAACTTTTCGTCAAGAATTTACCCTTCTCGCATTGCACTAAGGATGCGCTAGCTGAGATATTTGATAAATATGGCAAGTTGAAGGACGTACGGGTTGTTACTTTCAAGTGAGTATATGTTTCTATGTATATATAGTAGGCTCTGCTCTATGAAGATACGACCTATGTCCATCACTATGAAATTTAATTTGAAATTATTGATACAAATATCGAACAAATTGAAAGAAAATTTTTTTTGATCCGTCTGGACTTTATACAGCGACATTATTGCCAAACAAATAATAGGAAAATGTATAATTATTACCGATTGAGTGTGAATATATATAAAAGAAATATAAAAGAAATCACAATTGGAATTGTGATTTCTTTTATACATTATATCGATGCTGTTGATTCCCTCCGCCCCGCTGCTACCACTGGTTCGGGTTCGGATCAGACAAAGATATATTCATACAAATAATACTGAAGTTCGATCTACGAAAATTATGATCCGAATTTTAAATGATACGTATATCCAGTAACTATCTGGTATCAAGCCTATTTTTACTATCCAGCCAGGTTCCGGAAAGTCGAACTATACCCGGCCGGATACCTGATGTTAAAATTGAGAGAATTTCATAATCAGTACACCAAATACATTTATTTTTTGACTAAGGATAAACAGCAACTACAGGATCGTTGACAATCTGTTTATTACTTATAACTGAAAGAACTTTGAAAATAGATAACGTTATCTGTAAATGCAGTACTCAAATTTCAATTAATGCAAATTATGGTGGATGAAGACCAGTTTTTCTGCATTAAGTGGTAAAAGTTGGTTCTATTTATTTTCATAAACAAGCCCAAGTTCAAGTGCTCAGGCTCATACAACCACAAATTTTAATATAGCTAAAGAATGATGTTGTTGCTTTTTTCCTTCTCCATCGCGAGAAATTCGCATTCGGCACAACAAACAAACAGCACTGATATTAAAATATTGCTCTTGATATTAATATATATTTTTTTTCACTCTTAACATTTTTCTGTGATAGATTTGTTTGTATTATCGAATAAATTAATCGTTTTCATAAAACCGAAGTGACCACAACAAATCAAATCGTCAATGTGAAAGTGCAATCATTCACTAATCAATCAATCAGGGCGATGCGCGCTGTAAACCGGTCGCGACATATTTACGGCAGTAGGTCTGATATCCAGCTATCCGGCCTAGGTGCTCGCCGGATATCCGGTATCCGGTCAAATCACTATCCGTTTTATCTCTAATCCAAGTTGAAGATATTTTCGACTTCGGAAGACGAAATTCGAATTTAGTGCGCGAATAGTATCAGCACTACCGTCGTCGGGTGCTCATCTGATTCGTTTATCTCTTCTAAAGCTGCTACTCTGTTGTTTTATTTTTTTTATTTCTTCTGCAGAGATGGTAAACCAAAAGGAATAGCGTACATTGAATACCAAGATGAGTCAGCTGCATCACAAGCGTTGCAAAACACAAACGGATTAGAAATCGCCAAGAGGAAAATCGACGTAGCCTTTAGCGCTCCGCCGCCGAAGCCGGAAATCGCTTCTACGTCAGCTACCGCTACCTCTCGTGGCACAGGCGGAGCGAGCGGCAGTGATGATGGCTTGCTTGGACAAGGGAAAAGAGACACTGGTGGAGGAATGTAAGTTCAGATTCTTTAAAAGAAATCTTATTATTATTAGTACAAAGAAGAATTCCTTCTACTTTTGGTGTATGTATGTGGTGTATGGTTCATATATATATGATGGTTACATTTCATATCGTTGGTCCAGATGAACAGGGCATTATCTCAAAAACATAGATTTTTCAGGAGAGCAATTTTAAAGTTTCTTGTAGCATTATTTCAGCCGCTACAGACTACATATTCAACAGTGTTTTCGAATACTTCTTATTCTTATTCAGTTTCGTAGTTGAGTTCAGGATTACAAAATCCTGAATTTGATCAGAGAGGTCCATATATTACCCTTTTGAACATAAAATGTTTGTGATTCAGGGTTTTAATTAAACTATTCAAGCTTAATACTTTTAAATGAAAGAAGGAATCATATTCAATTCGGTAAAACTTTAAGGAACATAGTAGTATCTCAAAAAATAACTCTATACTACAGGTTACCATAACAATTGAATGAAAAAATATGCCAAAAAAAGGTATTACCTTGAAATAATCGGCTTCGTTTTAGAAATAAATATTTTTTAAATACACCTATAATGAACACATGCTGTGTTTTAGTTTTAATAACCTGTTCAACGATCGACGAGGTCTTGCGACTACAGCTTCATGTGTAATACTGAATACGACTGTGTTGCTCAATGTTTGGGATCAAGATGTGTAAACAGTTCAGAGATACTATCCTGCCTCCCGCGCCATTTCACATTCGATCGTTATAGGACTCAGACTCAGTTCATTATAAAAGTCTTGACTTTTTAATAGGACTGCATTTTAAAGTAAAAAGTCCAAATTTTTGAGTTGATACCCTGTTCATCCAAGGCAACGATATAGTTATTTATTTAATTATTTTGCAGGCGGCGAACTAAATTAAGCAGTTTCATCCCAAGCGTACTGCTGAAGCCCTCTACTAGTAAAGCCACGAACGGAGCCAACGGAGACCACAGCAGCGAGAAGCGACCTCTTTCCAACACAGATTTCAGAAATATGCTGCTGAACAAATAACTCAATAAGCTAATATTTGTAGTGTAAGAACTAAAATCTTACTTTTTATATTTACAGCTTACGAGTTTTTACGTATAACGCATCATGGCGTTCAATGGCATTAAGGGCAGCATTCTGGCTGCATCTGTTCAGTTTGGGTACAATGGGTGCGATTTCATATTCTTCGTTAACTGTGCTAGCGGTCGGGAGAAGTCATACTATTTTGCAGCTGCTATCCAGTCCGAATGCTGCACTTGCAACTATGCACTTAAAATGCATTAGGCAATTCAAACTGACTAATAATGCGGCTGTCATCATACCACGTATGTTAATCATGTTAATTGCAAATTTCGGAGAAAGTACTTAAAATATTGAAGTTAGGATATTTTGTTTCATGGAGACATTATTTTATTTTTAAAAGCAAGTAATACTGTATTCTTCTTAAGTAAGTAATACGGCATTCTTCTTCTTGTCCTTATTCCACGCTACATGTATTTTTCGTCCACTCTCCCCTATCAGCCGTCATATCCATACTCATACCTTTCTTAACCATGTCATCTTTCACACAATCCATCAATCTTTGGTCTTCCTCTCTCCTTATGTCCCTCTACATTCATACATAACACTCTTCTCGTCACATGACATGTCCATAACCTATTACTCCTCATCTTTTCCGTCACTGGCTTTAAGTAATACAGATTTTAAAACTTGCTTGCTTCATCTGGGAATCGAACCGACCAAATGTGAAAAATATCCTTTATTTTTATGATCTTACCTTATCGATGACATACACTGTAATCCTCGCTATCGTGGTTAAACGATTTGCCAATGGACGAGTTGATTGTTGCTCAGGCGTACAGGAAAAGAATGGCACGTCGTGCGTGGAGGTATATGATGGAATTTCGAAAGAGCTAGTTATAAGGAGTAACATAGCATTTTAAATTAAAAGAATACCATAAAATTATACATTTAAATTTAGGAAAATGAAAAAATATTGTTTTCTACTGTAGATATAGTACTTCTAAAAATATTACCATTATCATTGCATATGTATATGCCATGATAGTTTTGATTGTTTAATAAGTTTTTTATGTTTACCAACCAATTACATTACAAAACAAACAATTATAACAACATTTAAAAATCACTAAGGTTTGAGTCAATGCTGTATGTTGTCTATATCGACAACACATAAATCTTACTATAATAATGTAATAAAGTATACTATGTACATGCTATATTATGCTATACCATATATTATATTATTATACAATATACTACAACACTAATAAAGTATTTTTAAGCAAATAAAAAAAGGAAAACAAAAAGCAACTAATGGGCTACTCACCTCTTATAAGTACCCACGTAAGGAACTACTATCTTAATAAAATATACATGCAAGATGCAAATAATAAACTAATATTTGGAGGTATGTATCTCTATGAGCTAGATACGAGACGAATTTGAAATTGTAGATACAAAGACAGTTTCAAGTTAGTTGTTTTTTGAATAAATTGAATAATTAACTGGTGAACACCATTTGGTCGGTTCGATTCCCAGAAGAGGCTAGCAAGTTATTAAGTTTTTGAATACGGTATTGCTTCAACTTCTTTTTATAAAAAAAACCGTCCTCAAAAGTTTGTGGAATTATATCTCTTTGTCAAGTTTTATTTAAATCGGTTAACGAATATTTCATGGTGCGAAAAGTGCGTGTTAGCCGATTTATTGGCTTTCACCGTGGAATATTTTCTTCAAATATAAATGTTACCAATACTGAGATATCCCATATTGAATACAAAAGGGATCATCGAAATAAGGTTACAAATGGCTGAGTACTCGCGTAACGTACACACACACAAAAACAGTCGAATTGAGAAGCTCTAAAAATGAAAATATCCTGTCTGCAAGTATTGAAAGTATTTTCCCTTGTCCCATAGCCGTGACACGTCCTGTATAATTATGAGTCTATAAAGATTTGTAATTAGCCGGGTACATATTTATTTATTAAATACAATATTCACTTTGTTGCCGTTAACCCGTTCATGAATGGTAACGGCGTTTGCCGTAAACTTTAATGTCAGAATATGGATAGTACGGGGTATCCCATTTGGCTAAATGTGACACGCGGGTATCGCGTAATAATGGTAGAATAATGGTATGCGCTCTGCCCACATGAATTTATTTTATTATTAGGAAAGAAGAAAGGAAGGACAGGCCCTTTTATTTGTATTATTGCTGCTTATAAGCTTAAGTTAGGTTACTTAAATGAGAGTGCGTCTGTCCGCTTCGAGAATTTTGCATGGAGTGGCGTCGCAACGAAGCAAAGTAAGAATGGCGAGGAAAAAGAATTACAGAACCATTCAAAATTTCAAAAGTGGCCAGGAGCCAGAGAAAATACGGCGATGAAAGAGGTCGTTTCCTCACATATGGATCTCAAAAAGAAACTACGGGCTTTACAGTGCGATTTTCAACTGCTTTCTGTGTAGCCGCTAGACATGAGAGCCGCGCCGGCGCGCCGCCGCCGCGTTTTTCCTCGCGCCGCCGCCGCCGACAAATGCTATCGGCGCGCCATTCATCGTACGCACGCGCATGCTTCCGTATTGTGTATGTGAAAATGGCGACGCCAGAAAATGACTTTTCTAAGATAAAACTTATTTTTTTTTATAAAAAGTTCGCATTTGACCTCTAGCTTACCTGGTGGAAAGTGACGATGAGATCGACAATGGATGAATGCCTATTCACTTTCACCATGAAAAGGCCCAAATTATAACGTTCAGGAACCAGTCTGCAGGCAGGGAATTCCACTCCATAGCCGTTCGCCATAAAAATGTGGAACCGTAACGCTTCGTGCGAATCTTTGGAATATCCACAACATAGAGGTGGAACCCAAGTCTAGGCCTAGTCCCCCGGTGATGGAAAGGGGAAAGCGAAATTCAGTCGTGTAATTCCATCGCACACTCCGGGATATATCGTGTAAAATTCCGATAAGCTGGCGACTTTACGGCGGTGTTCAAGGCTCTGCAGCTTCGCCTCCACTAATTCCGAGTCGCCTATAAGCTTCTTACCACGGTTGTCAAATGAATCCAAAGTGGCCAATTGGTATGTAGCAGAGCCATCTTAAAGGTGGCAGCAGTATGTGCTTGGTACAGCTGAAGCAACTGTCCCGGTGTGTGTGTCCCTATCTACTTACCCAAGCTATATGGTTCTCCGGAGAGACTACGGGCTCGACGGCAAGATCACAGTACTGCGGGCGTCCGGGCCAAGCCCTTCGCCAGTGATACGCCTTTACGGGCATCTCTGGCGGACTCGGACTTGGGTATGGACTCGCTGGGCTTTGTGGTTAGCTGCAGAGACGGACATGTTTGTCTGCCCCGGTTGCATGTATCCGGGGCATCTGTCTCGTGAGCAGCTAGCGCGTCTTAGTAGCGGTCTAGTTGAGGGCCTGTATGCGTGGAGAATCGGGGAGCACTGACCCTTGCATTGGTCAAGTACCTATCTACGACTGTGTTGTCATCAGCATACGCAAAGGTACCTGAAATTAACATATCATTGATATGCAGTAGAAAGAGGAATTTATCGCCATATGTTCGGCAGTAGCCTTCTAAGACCACTCGAATCGAACCTTCGCTCAAGAAATCCGAGATCCATTGCAAAGTGGGAAGCCCATAAAAGGGAAGCTTACTTAAAAGGTTTGCGTGCCAGACCCGTCAAAGGCTTTAGAAATATCCAAAGACACTGCAAGTGCTTCACCTTGCTTTTCTATAGCCTCGCTCCATATGTAAGCAAGCTTCCACGACCTCGGAACTACACCAGTCTCAAGTGAGAGGCGGTACAGGCGTAGGCGTGTGAGAACAGGAGACAACTCAGGCATACAGTTACGTAAGACTAGTGCTGGAATTCCATCTGGCCCGCTAGCTTTATTCACGTCTAGATTCCGCAGAGTTCTAAGTACCTCTTTTTAGCGTATGCGAATTGGCGCCATAGTGCAGCCAGCCTGAGGTAAGATTAGATCCAGACGCGAACTCTTTGCAAAGAGTGAGGCACAAAGATTTGACTTGTCTTCTGCAATGTAGGCTAGCGTGCCGTCCAGCCTCAGCAGAGGTGACATAGATAGGCGACAAAAGTTAGTTAGTGACTTTATATTTAAAGATGTTTTGTTTAAAAAAATTATTTGACAATTTCTGGGGTCGCCATTTTCACTACGCATACACAATATGGAAGCGTGCGCGTGCGTTCGATCGGAGCGCCTGATCGAACTGATAAAAATTTGATTACTATAGAAAATACGTTATATAATTTTTTCCTTTGAAAAAGTATTTGTATAACGGTTTTTGTAAAAATAAACACCGATATACAAATTCGTTTTAGGGTCGCGTTCGCGCCACCGAATCCTCGCCGCCGCCGGTTGGTCTATTATCGGCGCTCATGTCTAGTAGCCGCCTACTGCTTCTCCATAGAAAAGTATCAATAACCTACTGACAAAATTCAATGAATTATATGAAACATTTCATATTGAATCAATATTAAGCACTGCGGCAAGAAAAGTAGAGATTTTTTTGTGTGCAATACTATTTAAATACTGTTTATGAACGGGTTAAGTTTTCCATAAAGATATAAAATTGGTCAATTTGAATTTCCTTCTTTGCGTATTGGCTATAGCCTATATATGTATATGCTATGATTCTATTTTGTTTATTTCACGTTTTCCTAAAAGACAGTCAAGTCGTCGCCATAGCGACATTCATACTGATAGAAGATACACGATTGTGTTACTTATAAAATTGGTCGACCCAAGTGATAAATTCTTGTTTGCTTCTAAAGTAAATCAAGAAGGTTGGGTTTTGTTGCTACAACGCGCCGTGACTTAATAAAACCATTCATTCATTATATTCCAGTGTACTAGTGTTTTCGATCGACAAAGATGTCGTTTATTATCACCGTCTTCTAGAACCAATAAGTACGTAAAAGCTCTTACTCATCCCAGAGTAGCTGTTCTTCCAATTAACACAGGTAACGGTAGATAACTTGGTCGCATACCAGACGAGTGCGACAACTTGTGTTTTACCGGGACCGTCGCGTAGTAACTCCAGGGTTCCATGTCTGCAAATTTTCCTGAAACCACTGGTTATTGTAATTCCATTGGAATTCCACTGCGATTATATTGCAATTGTGATAATATTTGTTAATCTACTAAAATCTCGTTGCAATGGCAGACGACGTTGATTGATTATAGTTTGCAATGAGAGTTGAGTCTAAATAGAGCGTCAGTTGAATGGCAGTGATGGCTTGCACTCCATTAAGCGATCGTTTGACCGCTGTTGCCTTACTAAAACGATGATATCTTAATTTTTATCTCTTTTAAACAGCAATTTAGTCTTCAAATTATAATATTAGTAGACTATGTCGTCGTAAAAATTGCAATGGCGCTTGAAAATTAGCTCGATGGCTAGCGAAGGACAAGCTCAAGACTCTTAAATTTTAGCAGAATACCAAACGTACACACTCCTGTCATTGACACTCTAACGCACAATTGAGATGATATAAAATTAGCAGACTGGGGCCCAAAGGATATGGCAGATACTAGATACCGTCACTTCTGTGACCTAATTCAATTGGATGAAATTCAGTAAGACAGTTTACATGAATATTGTAAGTAGACATGTTCTCTTATTCCGCACTCTTTTGGTTAGAATGGTCAAGATATTATCGGGACCTGAAATAATTATAAATAATAATAAATATAATATATAGTCTCGAATGAATAGTTTGTTCACACTCCCAGAAAATCACCGGATGCAATACAGTTTAGAGATGATAAGCAAGTCTTCTTTGCCTCTCATGTATTTTAGAAGGGTTATATAGGTTGTTTTCTGGGATTTTGTTCCTTATTGGGCATTACTTGAGTAAGCCGTGCTAATGTTGCAGTAGTGAGTTTGAAGGATTTTTTGGGTAATATTTTGTACTCCACCTGGGAACCTAATATGAGCTTGTAAAAAACTAGCCAGTTCCGGGCAGTACAGTTTACGTGGTACAACTGAATTGTGTAATAGGATATCAAACTATTTTTGGGTCTAAATTCCTTTTTTTTTCAAACAAATAAACGTTTCAGGCGAATTGTTTCAATTCGTATAATAACCTTCACAAAGTTGAACGGGAATTGTACGGTAAGATGATAAGGTTTAGAGATTTGTATGCAATGAATCATAAATGAAAAGGGCTTACTTAACACCACGATTGTGTTTGAAAAGGAAAATATAATGTTTTCTAAACAAATTTTATTATTGATTACACAAAATACGTTATTTTATAATAGAAAAAAAAATGGCAGGTTTGTTTAGTTACAGTTTTTACACGAATTCATCTGTCTTAAACCAATGCTTGCAGGGCTAAAGACTATCAATTTCTGTCTTATCAATTTAAGCATAGGTTTAGGACTTCCTTAAGTTTAGCGCAAGCGAACGAAGAAGCGTAATACCTATGTATTACGTTTTGAGTGTCTTAATTATTTCGTATCAGTAAGCTAATGGCTCTATAGCCAATGCTTAATAAATAAATATTCTTGTCATTAAAATTGAAATGATTGTAGTGAGTTTGCGATTGATAAGAGAACTCGAACGTATCTCATTTTCTTACATTTTCATTCGATATTGCGCTAAAGCCAAATTTGGCGCTATTTAAAAGTTACATTGCGATCAATATCGAGCTAGTAAAATTTTAAAAAGATAACAGAGAATTGGCGTCGTATTCCTGAACTCTACTCAATGCTCAAGTCAGGACTTGAGTATGATTTCAAGCACTAAAAATCATACTGAAGTCCTGACTTGAGCATTGAGTAGAGTTCTGGAATGCTACCCCAAGATACCGAAAATGTAATTCAACTTAAACTGAAAACAAAATATTAAAAATTGTGATAAAAGCTCCGCCATTTTCAAAAAATTGTTACTTTTTTAATTACTTCTTGTATGGCAGAGAATTAGATACCGAAGATGTAATGCAACTTAAACTGAAAACAAAATCTCAAGAATTGTGATAAAATCCCGCCATTTTCCAAAAATAATTTTTTTTAATTACTTATTGCATGGCAAATAGCACGTCATGTTACGATTTTACTATGAGAAAAAAGGTGAATGGCTTTTGAATGTCAACGTGAACTGCATGGAACTTGCCGTGTTTTTGTGACGTCATAGCACGAATTTGACCAACTTATGACCTTGAACAGGGTTGCTATTTGAGCTCTTATTAGGTCCCCTGATAAACATTTAATATTTTGTGTGAGACAATGGGTGGTTTTTTTATTGTTTATTGTCTTGTTTCCAATGGTCCGAATTTATTTTATTTCTTCATTGTTCGATTACTGTTATATAAACGCGCTTACCAAAGCGTTTGTCACCGAGAATGTAGTTCCAAGTTAGAAAATCATCTGTATTGTACATTGTATGCAACGGTACATAAGTTTAATTTCGTAATGTCTTGTACTCACTATAGTAACATTGTGTTCTACCATAACTAGATTACGTATATATGTCAAAACAAAAACTATTTATTTTGTTCCGTGAAACGCGCCACAGATGATACAGAATAAATGATTGTTTTACTATTTCTGGAATTTCTTTCACATTATTCATCATAGATATATATGTATGTATGTGTAACCAAGTTTCATACTTCAGTTCTCATGATTTGATTTGGTACAAACCTTTTCCTTTCCAGTAGTTAAATAGAGATTATAAATTCCACTTTGTTTCCGCATTTTGGTAATACCATAGTATATAGCTTGGGTCGTTGACACGCCATTAATTATAATAATAATAATTTATTTACTTCAGACAACATTTAAGGTCCATTTTAATGTTAGTAGAGCTTATCCTATATTAATACTTAATAACTAACAATGAAATTGGCCTCTGTGCGAGTGTATACATCATCGGGCAATCAGGTCTATCAGCTATTATAGATTTGACACATTCGCTTGGTGTTTTAAAAAATGGCATCAAATAGTATACGTGTTTATTTTCGCATTAGAGGTAGTTTGAGCAGAGTGCCTCAAATTCATTATTGTTCAGCACGTCATTTGTATTTCGTAATCTTACTTCCACAATTGAGATATCAATCCGCGATGCTGGTATAAAACTAGCTATACGTAACTTACCTACTGCATTTAAGAGAGGTCATTTCATTAATAACACGAGAATACTGTGATTAACACTTAAATTTTTTTTAATTATATTTACAATCTGTGGGTACAACTAAAATAATAATGTAACAACCCTACGCTCCAAGCGAAGTGTAGGCATATTTAGCATTGTGGGCGAGAATTTGAAGTGGAAGGACGCTAAAAGATTTAAAATTTTCAATTATATATAACAAACAAAACATGTCATAACATGTTTATGGAAAAGTTTCTGGCAGAAGGATCAAGATATAAAAGGCAAATGGTATGGAATGGATGAAATGAAATGGATGGTATGGAAGCATACAAGAAGAAATTATGAGTTCAAAATTCAACGTCTTTTATTAGCAAGTGAACTAAATGATTTAAGTGAAAGTGAAAACATGAATAATGACTCTCGGCGCATAAGACTATTTAAAAAACCCAAAGTTCTTTTGGCCATTCTACAAGTGCATTAAAAACACAATAGAAAATATTTATTCAGGATCCCGAAAACTAAATTAAGACTCAAAGGACTTACATCCAATCCAAAAATCGTAATAAAAAAATAGGCATATTTACGGGAGTTGCCATAATTGAACTCATTATACTATGGTAATACCGCCAAACTTTTCAGCAGGTTACATGGTACTAAAAGGTTATTAAAACTAGAAATAAAAACATTTTATGTCAAAATAAATACATACATTTATTTATAAAATCACAATTTACATCTCAATAGAGAAATATGTCTTATGTACAAGCAAATTGTCTAACATAAATATATTCTAAAAAGCGTTGCACTGTAAACTCTATACGACTCGAAAAATCAACTTGTACTTTTCGATGGAAATAAACCTTGTCTCAAAAAGCTCTTAATATGACTATCATTTGAGCGTTTAGTTTCTTTTATTTTTACTTTTTGTACAAAGTTTACAATAGTCAAGGCAAGTGAAAAAGTCTGATCCTTTGCCATTGAAAACATGTACTTTTCTTACATTCTGATGATATGATTACTGAACTATTTGCTTAAAAATCATCATAGTTATAAATAACAAAATAAATGGCACTCGAGTTGTATATTAAGGTTAGGCCACACAGACGCGGTACGGCGTGAAACACGGTCCGGGGCCGGACCTATGGGAAACGAATGCGTACCGAGGCGTGCCACACAGGACTTCCACGCATAGTTCGCGCAGTAACACACGTATTTTAAAGAAAATATCATATCGCTATCGGATTAAGATCAAGAATTTCTGCTTTTATTGGCGTTACGGAGGGAACGCAAAAGAAATTAGGTGCATGATATCAATGCGAGATGCTAAATTCATATTGAAACTTAATTAAACACACTCGAGAGGTGTAAAAAAGTACAACGAGCAATCCCGGTGAAGCCCCCCACCGCTGCCATTCTGTGTGGACGGTTTCATAGAGCTTAATGGAATACGGCTTTGCATCCGCACCTGTCTCACGGGCAATCCAGGCCCCGGCCCGCACCTGCTGGTCATAGCGTTCGGCCCCGGACCGCCCCGCCACACGGTTTCAATGTGGCAGGGTGCATAAGAACTCACACAATACAAAAATTCCCAGGCCCGGAATGCTCCCGCTACCGTGTCTGTGTGGCCGGAGCGTTATATCAGAAGTTTTTTATAAGGTTCAAATTACATTGCCACAGAGCGAATGGTTGCGATTGTTTGAAACCATAGGTTTATGTCAATTGTGTAAGGTACAAACTAGATACGAGTCAAAATACAAGTTGCGCGTCTAGCGTCTCGGGAATACCTGCAGCTACCATATCGTATCTAATTTGTACGTTACGCAATAAAGTTCATTATGCTATGTAGCGTTGGGTCATGGAAAAATTTCCGTTTAGAAAAATCATGTTTTCTGAATGTTTTTCCAACATTTTTCCACACTTGATAGTTGGCAACTGTCAAAAGTTGAAGCTACTGAACGTAACGATGGAGCCATTGTAAAGAGTTTTTTCCTTTTATGATGCTTGTTTTCTTCGCTGTTGTCCAATCATTTTAAATCTCATTTTTCTCTAACTTGGTTTTCGCTAGAACTATTTTAAAATTCAGGCTAAATAAAACTTCAAAAGATATATCAAAACTTAAAACATAATAATTATGAGCTTTTGAATTGTATTTTACCCGAAAATATTCCACTATTTGAAATTTTTTGGAAAATTACCCAACAGTAATGCTACGTACAATACAAAACTTCGCTTCCGTACCGTGGCAATGTGAATTGAGCCTAATAGAGCCAAGTTCAAGAAACAAAAGGTTTAATGTTTTCATTTTTTAAATTTGCTTTGAAAAACAGTTTCAAAAGGTACAACAACAATACTTATCACTTGATGTATATAATACATTTATAACAGGCAAGATTTATTTCTTGAATCTATTTCTTTTAAATAAAATCAATGATTTTTGAGCCACACCTAAAAAGTTAATATCACAAGACATCTTTAGTACTTCATTTATTACCTCAATACACAATTATTTTCAAGAATTCGCACCCTCGGTTTAATAAGGTCACATCTGCAAAATGAGAGCTTTTCAGGAGAGAGGTTTAAAATTAGTAGATTACTTTTTTATGCTTAAATGGATTTGTTTTATGTATTTTATATTATTTTTAAAATTTGACACGTGGCTTTATTATACCAAGGGCTATTCTAAACATTTAAGTCGAAAACCTAACGTTTAGCCTTTTATGGAATATATTTGAAGTATGATTTTGGTACATGTTACGAACGATTTTTTTCCCTCTTTACACAATGGTATTTTTTTGGTCTGTAGCTCCTGATCTCATATAGGATGGAAATTGGCACGCTACTGTCTCACGGTATTCTAAGTATTTATTAACATTCTGAGTAAAAGCTGACAAGTTACTTTTTGATTCTGACGTGATGGCGCTAGTAGAAGAAGGTCTTTAAAATTTTGAAACATGAAGAATTTGGCCTATCGATATCATAAGGCACTTCGTACAGCTGTCACATTATTGAAAGTTACTGCATCTCTATGAGATTGGTGACAATTCTACCATCTCTTCTTTGTCTTTCGGTAAAGGAAAACATAGTGATGAAACCGGCACGTCCAAGAAAGTTCATAACCCACGGAAAACGTGTGATGTTCCCAACTCGCATTGGGTCAGCGTGGCAAACTATGGCCTAAATCCTCGCCTAAGAGGAGACCCGTACCCAGCAGTGAGACGTACAAATGGTTTCATGATGATGATAATATGTTTTTCATTAAAAATACGAGTATAATTTTCTCAAGTTAATTTAAATTGTCATTGAAAAAGGACTGTCCAAAATAACTCGGTTAAAAGACATACAACAGTCAGGGTAAATTTGAACGGCCCCCTAAGCAGATTTTTCTCAAACAGTTTTTTTTTCTAATTCGTCTTTTTAGTTAAATTATTCTAAATTTCGGCATAAAAGGGCACTCGTTAATCAATAAAACCTATTCAGACCAATACATTTTTATTTTAATATCTGTACAAACCTGAGTAAACTACCCAAAAATTACCCAACTTCACTGTACAATGCGTGTCAAGTTATATTAGCATTGTATATGAACACCATTAAAATTTTTAAACGAACAGATTTACGTATTTAAATTTATTATCACTATAAGCTTCAACCCGTTTTCTATACTTTAAAAAGGAGGTGCTGAAGACAAGTTACAGGCCCACAAACTTACATTTACAATCAACTCATATTTGTTTAACATTGCGCAGTTTTGTAATTTGTATTTTCGGGTTTAATTAAATTGGTTTAATTATATGGCTGTTTGGTCATATTCATTGACTAAGACAATAGGAACCATCGATATGCTTATATTAAAACCGTTGATCCGTTTTAATGACCGTCATTCGATGTGCTTACCGTCTTTCCATTTCTTTTTTGATCTTTCAAATGCTTCTATAATGCACGACCTGCAGAATGAACATATTTAGTTAGTATCGTCCAGAGAAATACTGCCACCTTACATATTTGTGTCGCCAAGCAGTAATGTTAGCATTACTGCGATTCGGTTTGGAAGGGTAAGGCTGCTGGTGAAATTACAGGTACATGGAACTTGTTCACTTAAGTCTCAGGATGACGGGCGCAGTGGCAGTGCCTTAAAGTTCTGTGTGGCACTGCAACTGTTATGGAAAAGCGTGTCGCTTACCACCAGGCGCACGACTTATTCGTCTCGTCACTTGGTATTGTAAACAATAACCTAACCTCCGGTTAAAAAAACTGACATCTGATTGACTGAATGACTGAAATCCTCTAGTTTGCCACCCTTAGAGGTGGAATATTTTCTTGAAATTTAAATGGGACCACATCTGAGGTACCTTCTTTCCAACAGAAAAAGAATCATCAAAATTGGTTCACACATGGCAGAGTTATTGCGTAACATACCTACAAAAAAAGAAACAGACGAATTGAGAACCTCCTCCTTTTTTTGAAGTCTGTTAAATATTTAAACAAATTTTTATTGTTTTTTTTTGTCCTTGCAAAATATTATTGTTCAGCCTTTATTAAAATTGCCAGACAAAGCGAGGCAATGAAAAGTTCCAAAAGGATGATAGACGACGAAGGGCCACGAATGTTGGGACGAACAAGTTGTGCGCCTGGTGGTAAGCGACACGCCTGTCTGTAGTAGTTGCAACACCACTCAGAACTTTAAATAGCTAAGATCTGAGGGGCACTGTCACTGCGTTCGTCATCCTGAGACGTAAGTTAACAAGTCTCATGTGCCTGTAATTTCACCAGGAACGCAGTAATGCTCATATTACTGCTTGGCAGCAGAAATAGTTATGGTGGCAGAACTTGCCTGGACGAACTCTTTCACAAGGGGGCTCTAATGCTACTAAAGTGTTTTGATTTGTTGATACTTTCTTACCTAAATAGTGATTGGTGTAATATGTAAGCTGACACGTGTCCGGCATCCACGTAGCGCACCTCTGCACCGGGCCAGATTTCTTCTAGGGTACCTACGTCGTCACGAGGAACATAGGCGTCATGCTTTGCACATACCGCTGTAAAATTGAATCACTTACTTAAGTACCTTAAGAGCCTTGAACACAGCCATAAAGTTGCCTGCTTATCGGTATTCTACAAGATAGGAGTGTGCCATGGAATTGCATGATTGTATTACGTTTTCCCATTTTCATCATACCCCTATGATGAAAATGGGACTAGCCTGGGGTTACATTTTATATGGCGAACGGCTATGGAGTGGATTTCCCTGCCTGCAGACCTATTGCCTGAACGCTATAACTGCCGTTTCAAGGCGAGAGTGAATCTGAAATTCCATCGTCGACGTTATCGTCACTTTCCAGCGGTGAGAGGGAGGTCAAATGCGCACTTTTATAAAGGGATGGGCCCTCACGTGTTCTCTGGGCTGCGGAAAGGGACCAATCAATCATGGTAAGATTTTATTTGGTCATTTGGTCTATTAAAATCGATAACAGCAGGTTATAACTGAGGGTTTTACCAAAGTTTAAACAACAATAGATGCTGTACAAATACAGATTATTATTATTACGCTTTATTATAATTATTGTGTTGCTTTGCTATGTATATTACTAATATCATTAACAACAACTTTTGTTCCATATTACATATTGATACAAAGATGCAACGCACAGAAAAATTACGATTGGTCTCGAACCAGTGTCTGTTTGTCAAACCGGGGTAACCGCTCTTATCAACTGAGGTACAGATAGAGTCAACAATCTTACGCATTTTTCTGTGTGTATTGCAGATCTGTATTGGGTTTAAACGGCTTTTTTATACTGGTAGCTTAGCTTATGGTTTTGGAAAAAATCAAATTATGCAAATTTCGACAAATCGATAAGTTAAATTGTGAGTTACTAATTTTACAGAAATGAATTTTTAACTGACTTCAAAAAAGGAGGTTCTCAATTTGACTGTATTTTTTTGTGTGTGTTACGCGATTGCTCAGGTATTTGTGAGCCGATTTCGATTATTCTTTTTTGTTCGAAAAGGGGGTACCTCATTAGTGGTCTCATAAAGTAAATATTTTACTTTCAAGTGTAGGAAATTAGAGAATGTATCCGGTTTATTGGATTTCACCCACTTTCCGTAAACCTATTTCAATAAAACTTCGCAAATATATGTAATTCAGATAATTTTTGAGATCGATTTGGTTTTCATAAAAAAGTTATAATTACTAAAATCTAACCTAAACATAACAAAAAAAAAACGCTTACCAATAATTAAAGAAGTATCATACGGTATAGAGAAGTTGCTCAAATGTGTGCATTCATCCATTATGCCTCTCATGAACTGCAGCGTTTCTCTGTCCCGCCAATGTATTTTGCTTATGTCTATCTTCTTCCCACTGCTTCGCAGAAACGGTATATTCACCCAGAAGTCTGGCCTTAGATCTGTCATGTTCCATCTCCATTCTTTTTTTGTTGTTGCCACTGCGGTTGTATTTGAAAGTCCGTAGATCTAACACGACCAGTGCGCAGGCCAAGGTAACAAAAAACAAAATCAGCCGCACGCACGTCGCCGTGCGTAATTTATACTATGTATTTTGAGCATCCGATTCCCACAAAACATATATATATATATATATTATTATTATTAAATGCCGTGAGACGTCTGCGTGTCTATTTTTTTAAATTCAGAGCGCCTGAAGTTTTTTGAAGGCAAGTAATTGTTATTTTTAATTCCAGATACAAAACTGTCTTTATAAATTTTGTGTAATTTTTATTCAATCAATCTTGAAATTCAATAACTTTTAAAGATAGTTTGCTATAAAAAATCAGGTATTTTAATTATAATATATTAAACAAAAAAAAAAATTATTATTTTAATTACAATATTTAAACTACTTTCTCTCCGTGTCATATAGACGTGCGACAGCTTGTATACAATAAACTCAACAAGGGCCCGTCTACAGCTAAACGTCTGCCGGCCGTGCGAGACAAAACTTTCAAATGGTTTGTTGGACAAATATGAACTATATTTGTACCACGTATGTAGTCATTACACAGAGACAAAAAACTGGTGAAATTACAGGCACATCAGACTTGTCAACTTATGTCTCAAAGTGACGGGCGCAGTGACAGAGCCCCTCAAATCTTTGCGATTTAAAACTTGGAGAGGCACTGCAACCGTTATGGACAGGCGTGTAGCTTACCATCGAGCGCACAACTTGTTTGTCCCATCATCATTTGGTAGGCATTATTAAAAAAAAAACACATTTTCAGTACACCGTTAATTACACAGCGAATGTTGACTGCTCTGAACAATGGAAAACTTCTATTATGTCATACTGTAATATATCAACTATATTAACGGATGACTCACGTACTTAAGTCGCATTTTTGCTCGGCAATTTTTCGTCGAGTCACCGCCGCGGAAATGTGATCACCAGTGGTTGAGTCAAGCCACTACTCGCGGCCACTAAATGCGACCAGCAGTGGCTTAGTAAAGCCATTGCTCGCGGCCACTAAATGCGACCACTAGTGGCTGAGTCAAGTCATTACTCGCGGCCAGTAAATGCGTCCACTAGTGGCTGAGTCAAGCCACTACTTGCGGTCAGTAAATGCGACCACTAGTGGCTGAGTCAAGCCACTAAATGCGATCACTAGTGGCTGACTCAAACCACTAGTCGCGGACAGTAAATGCGACCACTAATGGCTGAGTCAAGCTACTACTTGCGGCCACTAAATGCGACCAGTAGTGGCTGAGTAAAGCCACTGCTCGCGGCCACTAAATGCGAACACTAGTGGCTGAGTCAAGCCATTAGTCGCGGCCACTAAATGCGACCACTAGTGGCTGAGTCAAGCCACTAAATGCGATCACCAGTGGCTGAGTCAAGCCACTACTCGCGGCCACTAAATGCGACCAGCAGTGGCTGAGTCAAGCCACTAAATGCGATCACCAGTGGCTGAGTCAAGCCACTACTCGCGGCCAGTAAATGCGACCACTAGTGGCTGAGTCAAGCCATTAAATGCGATCACCAGTGGCTGAGTCAAGCCACTACTCGCGGCCAGTAAATGCGACCACTAGTGGCTGAGTCAAACCACCAGACGCGGCCACCAGTCGCAACCACTAGTGGCTGCACACGGCCATTATAAAAAAAGACATACGTGCGTCACTCAGCCGGTCAACGTTTAGCATTAAGAAATAACTATGATTATAGTTGACTCACCTTGATCATCTGGAGGTTTTATTACTAAAATGTTATCTTTCTGTACAACTTTAGGTGGAGGAGGCGATTTGTCTTCTGTGATAATGGTTTCTGGCTTGGGTTCTTTCGGGTGCGAGATTTCACTTGGTGTGTCTAATTGAGTATTTTGATTGTGTTGATCTCTGTCTCTTTTGATGTCGGCTAAAAGAAGTTGTACTATTGGTTAGAAAACACTCAAACAAATATTCTTTTTACCGAGTTTTTAGGTTTTCGTGATTGTTATACATAGGAAATGAAACTATTTTTTTTAATTTTCTGGTTATCGAAATAATTTTTTTATTACAAGAAACGATAGTAATATAAAGTTTCTATCCCTGCAATATGGTCGCTTCTTTTCTTCTTTTCTTTTTTGGAGAACTAAATTAATAACTCCAAATCGTCATCGTTCAGAAATTAATTGCTAGATGTCAGCGAATTGATTGAAATTTCAATATAATGTCAAAACGTTGTAACTTGCAATGTGACGAACTTTCGACGATAGGCCAACAGGGTTTAAATTATATTAACAATCCAGAATTTGTTATTTCTTGCGATACGGGCACCAGCTAGTCTATCTATAAGTTCTTACGTTTTTATAACCGCTACACCACGAGTAGGTTACGCCGATTGAGAAATCCTTTCGCCACGACGGCAAGCATAATAATGTACGCCACCAATACGATAAGAAGAAGAATTGAAAATGTCAATTCACTTACCAACTTTGCATTTAAGAAGAACTTCTTTTAACTGCAATTTGGTTAATTTGTTAATTTCATCTATATCATACGGCTCCAGTACAAATTTCTCGTTCGATGTCAATTTATCATACAACGATTTACTAATTTTGTTCTCCTCTAACAATAGCTTCAGTTCTTCGTCCAAATGTTCTATATGCGCGAAGGATTCTGTTTGTACAGCTTTATGAGTTTGCAACTCTTGTACTTGTTTGCTTACGTCTATAATTTCGTTTTTACTATCTGTGACTTCTATTTCTTTACTAGTGACTGTATCTTTGGCAGGTTTGTTCAATTCGTTGTTTGGACTGTTCATATTTGTTTCTTTCTTAATTGTAACTGGACTAGCAACTGTGTGTAGTTGGTTTAATATTTTTTCTGAGTACGTGCGTGCGAATTTCCGGCCTGCTAGGAATGCCTCGTCAACTATGGTGACCATTTTTGATAGTTTCTCTCTATATATGCCGTCTGAGAGATACTGGTCTTCTAAGAGATCCCAGTTAATCGATTGGGACATAACTCCCTAAAAAAATATTAAATAAAATAAGTAAAAATAAGTAACAGGTAATTTAGTAGCAGTAGAGCTACTTGTGAAAGAGTTCGTCCAGGGAAGTCCTACCACCTTGCCTATTTCTGCCGGTGAGGTGACGGTGAAATTACAGCATCGAGTATACTGGCTGTACATTTGAAAGTGGGACATACTTATAGAGTGCGTTATATTCCTGATTCTGAACCCAAAGAAATAATAAACTAATGAACTTAAACTTTACAAAAAATATTTTTTTAATTTTTTTTGTCGACTCTTACTTGAGAACAACATTAGTTATCGAAATCTATGCACATCACTATTGCTGCTCCGAAGCAGCGGCTTGTGGCGGCACGGCGGCGAAAAACAAAGCACAGGTCGGGGTGTGGGCGCGGGCGCATACGCGAAATTGCTCAGTGCACGATCTAACGAAGACACGTAAATTATTTCTACTTCCGGTCGCCCGATCGCCGCAAAATGGATATGTATTCTAACGTCGAATTGACTGAGATGGTGCGACTTTACGCAATAAGTGGTGATAGTGTGAGGCAAGCTATTGAAATATTCCCAAATCGGAGTATACGCGGAGGATGTGAACAGTGTCGAAATGTTGCGTGAGAGGATTATCTCAGCATTTTATACTGTGAGACGAAATGTGTTTGTGTTGCACAATTTAAAACAAAATTTACTATGCCGTGCTAGACTATGCATTGTAGAAAACGGTGGGCATTTTGAACACTTGCTCCGTACCACGTAAGTGTAAATAAACTATAAATAACTAAAAAATCAATCATTGTAAATAATTTGATTTCATATTTGTAACTAAGCAAAAAACCTCAATTCTTATTAAATGATAACTAGTTACTAAATCATAAACTTATCTTTTTTAGTACGTAAAACATTTCGATGATAGTTCAAGTAAAAAATAATTAACATAAGCTAAAACGTAAATGTGAAATCATTGTTATTGTTTCTGTCTCACTCGGATCTCGCTTGGTAGTATTCCCATTGCACTCGAAATCAAGCGTAAAGGAAAACTGTTTATTCCTATGTACACTTCAAAACACATTTGTTGATTTATTTTTTGTTCTATCCAATATCCTAATTTTATTTTAGTCTATGTTAAGTTGTAACATGATTTACTATGACATTTATGAATGATGTATGAATATGAATGTCTCACTTTCAAATATACAGCCTGTATAACCAAAAATAGAGACGAAATGTAATTTAATTTGTTTGAAAACTATTCTGCCAAATCACCACGGTGGCAACTGCGTTTCAATTGGCCAGCCCGAATTCGAAACAATTGACGGGTGTCGTAAATTGTTTCACTTCAAAAATCACCAGTTTAACTTGAGCTTTGCTATAATGGACGAAGATTGAAAAAATACATATTTAGTACTTAATTACCGATGAAATGTTATAGATATTATCTTTATTACAATAAATACAGAATATTTTTGGAAAACACGGAGACGTACACACAGGTCAGTTGTTGGCGCTGTAATTTGTGATTTCAGCGCAAACGAGTTGATATTTAAAAGTGCTATAAGGCTCATTTGCCTGATGAGTTGCCAGGGATGGATGGCCCTTATTTCGTCTCTGCTTCTGGTGGTCTATACTCGATGACATGAATGGCAGGCAAATGGGACTGGTCAACTTATGTCCAAGGGTGACGGGCGCAGTAGCAGTGCCCCTCAGATCTTTGCGATTTAAAGCTCTGAGTGGCACTGCAACTGTTATGGACAGCCGTGTAGCTTACCTTTAGGCGCACGACGAGATCGCCTCGTCACATGATATTATAAAAAAAAGTACACGTAAATAATAAGTAAAAGCATAGTATAAAGATATTAAGTGGGAGCTGGAATTTGCATTATGTACTGGGATTTGTGTGTTGACGGGAGAATTTCTGGTTGTATTTGTAATAACAGTAATAAATGTGTTTACTTACTAAGTAACAGGGAGTAGGTAATTAAACTTGTTAAAATAAATTAAAAAGTAGGACTAGACCATTTATATTAAGTAACCAGTATACAGTATACAAGTATCTTCCGTATTTGTAATTTTGTTTTTGCGATTTTTATGCGAACGGCACAACATTACACATGGAATTCTGAACTCTCGCTAGTATCATTACATAATAAGACAGTAGTGTGACTGCATATAAACGTAGCAGTCGGCTTGTATGTGTGCGCGCCTGTCCCTCGTCTTGTAATGACCAGTGATCGAAATTGAGGGATTTAATAATTTGCAGCGCATTTGTCGATAAATACATCAGCGAATAACACGATGTATAGACGCGACAACAGCGTTCGGATCATCGAGTATATACCCAGAAATAGAGACGAAATGAGGGTCATCCATCCCTGGTAACTCATCAGGCAAGTGGGCCTAATATCACTTTTAAATATCATCTCTCGTTTGCGCTGTAATCACAAATTAGACAGCTGAAATAGTACAACGCCAACAACTGACCTGTGTGTACTTCTCCGTATATTCCAAAAACGTTCTGTATTTATTGTAATAAAGATAATATTTCTAACAATGGGAGGCTGTTCCATTCGGTGTTGTGGGAAAAACAGCAAAACTAATTACAAAACAAATGGAATCACATTTTATCGGTATTAATTACCGATGGAATGTGGTTTCAATTTTCGTCCATTGTAGCAAAGCACAAGTTAAACTGGTCGATTTGAAGTGAATCAATTGACGACACCCCGGGCTGGCTAATCTGAGCGCAGTTGTCACCGTAATGATTTGGCAGAACAAATTAAATGACAGTTCGTCTTTATTTCTGGTTATATACTCGATGGTTCGGATATATTCGTGGATTCTGAGTTTTCCCGATGTGTAATATATACGACCTGATACTGTACGACTCTCCGTAAACTGACGTTCTGCATTAGAAAATTTATAAACGCACGGTTGTAAAAATAATAACAATTTGAACACAGGCAAGTAACACAAACATCAGAAAATACACTAAATTGTCTACCTCGGTGGCACAGCCTTTAACGTCTCGGGTTCGGTTTTCGATAGGACCAATTTAGGGAGACCAACTTTCGTAAGTTATATTTATTTTATTGAATATCATGATGTTTTTATTACCATGACATTAATATACATATTTCTGAAGATAGAACAATAGAAAGAAAATTTTCTTCGATCTGACTAGCTTCGAACCAGCGTCTGTTGCCACACCGGGGCTACCGCTCTTACCAACTGAGCTCCAAACCGAGTCAGCAGATCTTACGAATTTCCCTTTTGGCTTGTTGCTTTCTAAATTATTTCTGGTCTGGGTGTTATGACCAGTGCTTCGGTTCATTTTGTTGTAGTCGTAGTACCGGGAATTGCCTAGTTTGAGACCATGTCATTCGTGTGGTTGTTACTTTTTTGGGATGTCACATACAACAAATTTTAACGACTTACTCTAAATTAAGTTGAAACATAGAAAGTATTTTCTAATTTTAAGTAGTTAGAAAAAAAAATCGAACATTTCGAGAAAAAAAAGGTACAAAAAGTAAAAATAGGACTTGCGGTTACCTGCAAGAATACAGCGGAAGCAGTCGACCAAGACAGGCAAGGGACCAGAACAAGCGGCTTCGGCCAGTTTGTGGCTGCGAGTGACGCCATCTGTAGCATGTAAGTAAATTATAAAATTCTTTATTCTCTCCACAATTTGTAACAGTCACATATTAATCAGCAGCCGAAACAAAAGTAATACGTACTGGCTGTTTTTTTTAAATTTATATTTATTTTTCTCTTATTGAAAATGAAACGGTTTTTTCCGGATCTAAGTTACGAATATTTTTTTTATTATTATTTTAAAGTAAAAAAACCCTATTCTGAACTATATTTACAGAGGTCATAATTTAAATACCTTCTTTTTAATTTACTAAAGAACAATCCCTGAAAGCCGTGGTAGCCTGTTGTTTGACCTAACGGCTATCAAGCAGAGGGTCGTGGGTTCGAGCAAGGGCTTGGACCTCGTAACCTTTTTGCAATTTATATGCGAAATTTAATTTGAAAGTTACCATGAGCTTTTCAGAAAACATTGTGAGGAAACCTGCGCACATTTCCAAATGCGCACTGGACACGCGTGGGAACTACAGCCCATACTCTCCCATTGCGACTGTTCTGTACCCAGTTATGTACTTATATATAGTTCATATTCGGACTGTTAATACAATAGTGTATTAACTCAAAAGTGGACTTTCTCAGAATCAATGAAAAACTAATTCCATAGACACAAATAATTTCCCAAATATATTTAAAAATAAAATGTAAACAATAATGTCATACTTTTGAATATGGATTATTTTGGGCAGGCTAGCTCACATACAGTGTCTCATTTTCAGTTAAGTAGATATCTTTTGATTGTTTCTTACAATATTCTAACGACGGTTTTTTTGACGTGTAGAGAATAAAATTTTACGTTCAATAATGATATAATAGTAAATTTCACATATTTTGAGTTACAACGCTATTGCAATAGCAGTGCTATATAGGGTAACTAATATGACTTATAACCAAAAATCAGTCGACAAGTGAATGAAGTACACACATGTCCACCCATGGAGAGGCCGGTGACGCCTAATGGGCCGAGGCCGTTGCGTTCGCACCAGTGGAACAGCACAAGCGACTCCAGGATCAAGCACCCGCCCATCACGAATATGTCCGACACGTTGTGGAGAGAAGAACGACTGCAATATTGTATCCGCGTGACAAGTTTGTATTAACTAGACATCCCAAAATCAATGAATTTTTCTTGGTCAGACAATGAACAGCAATTATCTGGTCTTATTGTATGGTTATATTAGAAATTTCCCACAACTATGAGTATTATAGCAGCAAAATTTACTATGAGACATTACTCAGAACACACAGATCACCAAATTGTTTTCAGTCTGTTTTATTAATTATTGTTATGTATTCATATTATCTATAATATATGATATAATATATGTTTATATTAGTATTTATTATGTAGTGCTTTTTACGATATTGACCCACTGTCTTGAAGAAGCGACTTTGCCTCCCTATATCTGTCCAACACTCGCCGCCGGCAGGGAGTCTATCCTCACACTCTGGAACCGAGTCGATCTCGTACTGTACGGATTCAGAGGAGCTTTCTCCCATGTACAATTTATTAGGTTGTGGAATGAACTCCCTGTCGGGGTTTTCCCGCAGGAATAAAGCATGGAGTCCTTCAAAAGGGGTTTCAGAAGGCTTTCCATCAGGCGGGCAGTGTGCTTGTTTGCTGCCTACATAATGTAAAAAAGTGCATTAAAGAAGATATTTTTTAGTTGCACCCCTTTCACATGTACGTCTCTAGTTTCAACAATTTTTCATAAATCATTATTTTTAACCAAATGTGTCGTGTTAGTGTCGTCTGAAATAAATTGCTACATAGCAATAAGGCCTGTTACGTCAAATTACTGTTGTGTGTTGCCACTGTAATTTTATGTGCAATAAGGAATATTTCATTCATTAATTTTGTAACAAAAAAGTTAGGTAACTATATCAAGGTGATACCGAAAATTTTGTAACAATGGTACTCTTAATATCTTAATTAGCCTGCAATAGTGTTAGCAGAGGGATTTCTGGGCATAGGTGTCTCACCCGAACTTCAAAATCTCTCTCTCTACCCACAGCAATTTTTATCAAAATTATAAAACAAAACTCAGAAAAAATTCCTTCCATTCGGATTCGAACCGACGTCTTCTAGCATACCGTGCCAGACGCTATACCAACTAAGCCACAGAACCAACCAGTGGACCTCACGAATTTTTCTATGTGCTTGAGTCGTATCTTTGTATTTGGTTTTTTGACTTTTTTTCTGAGTGTTTGATCTTTGTATTAATAATTCTAACAAACTAGTGGAGTAATTTCACATAAAAATAATTGAATATCAATTCAATAAAAACATTATATTAAACAATATTTAAATATGAAATTTCACGTTTAGTGACGTACTAATTTCTTTTTCTTACTTAGTACTATTTGAATTATGAATCTAGTACCAACACCTGATCTGTAGGTTTCCGTAGTCCGTAGAAGGGGTTCTCCAGGATGATGCCGCCGATTCGCGCTTCCTTCAGCAGCGGCTTCACCATAAGATTCCGCCGTCGCCAAAAGAACTGCAAAAGTCAAGAATTGATAATTCAAATTCAAAATTGGAAATTTAACTGTTGTAACATTGAATATTCTTATGTTCTACTACCATGATATTTATTTTGTATGGTATTCGATAGCCGGGTTCACGATTCTTTGCGTTTTTCGCTTGGTTGCGTTTTCTGGGTACATGACGTAGAAATCTGACTTCCGCGCAAAGGCGTTCACGAGTCTTCCGCTATGCGTTGCGGAGACTTGCGCGCATGCGCGGCGGCTTGCCTTTGTTTGGGTTGTCGACACTCTTGAACCGGCTGCTGCTGTGTGATTGGCCAGTGGTGCTGTCCTCCGCAAACGTTCCTTGTTGCTTGCGTGGAAATATCAAGCTTGCTAGATATCAAACTCACGCAACACAAAGAAATCCAATGCAAAGCAAGAGGCCAGCGCTAGCGAGCGACTCGTGATCAGTCCTACCTGCGCGTACGCGATACGCGATAGATGTTGTTAGTCAGTGCTGGAAAATGGTGTTAAACATCTTCATCTACGAAAATAATCATATTATTTTGTTCATGCAGTCCACAAAGATTTCGTACTTATATTGATTTTAACTAAGGGCAAACAACTATGCAATTTAGACTTGACGTCATGTCAATGCCAAATAGTTTTATACCTAATGACGTCAAGTTTGAATTGAAATAGTAATTTATATACTATAGGTAGAAAAAACTGGAGTTTTGCCAAATCCTTCTTGCGTCATTGGTGACAGAAAGAAATCACGTTTCATTTTATTTATCATCATTTGACGCAATGAAATTGCTCCAGTACACAAGTTTAACATTGTAATGAATCATGTATCTTGTTACGTGTGCTCTTATCAGATTGTTTGTTTTGGAGAAAGGAGTGTAATATAGATTCTTACCATAATATATTCGAGTATTTATAACACAATGCCTTTATTTAATTCAGTAGTTATTTATTTTGATTAAGAAATAATGGATTTTTATTTAAACATTAATTAAAACAAGTTTGATCCATTTGGATTAACCTTGTTTGGATAAGCCTTTTATTAACATTGCCTGTTGATTGTTAGAAAAACAGAGCCCACATCGACCTAAAGGCTAGGGTGTAAGCAAGTGTTAACATTAAATGATGATGCCTTAATAGTAAAGTATGTTTACGTACTCTCTTTAAAGAGTAGAAAACCTTCAAGGACCTCTATGCATATTTAACCCATGAGTTTGTTTTGCATGGTAACAAAAATACATTAATTGCGATTTGATTAACTAGATATTGAAAAAACTTTGATTACCACAATTTTGAATTTGGTTACCGACAGAATAAATACAATTATTTTCATACAGAACTCACATGAAAAATGCACACGAAGACGTGGAAAAGCAGAAACATATATGCACAAATACATATTATACAAAAATAAATAATATATTTACTGTTAGATGATAACTTACATGATCTCCTGTGCCAGCTAAATGCAAGCACATGGGTTTGCAGTTCTCAGGCCAGTGTAAAGGCATCAGAGTTTGGAAGTGCGCCTTCTGCGCAATTTCCGGAACAATACCAGGGAGATATCGCTCCAGAGGTGTTGTGAAGTATCCTTCTAGGAGCTTGCAGTCTGACAGGTTTTGTTCCTGAACATATTTTTCAGTTGGATATACATAGATATAAAAGTGTTTTTTTTGTACCAGATAATCATATTTATCTGCTCTGAAACCAAAGAGCTCTCTGTTCTAGACTTTCGGAGTAATGTGATCACTCCAAGAGCATTCAAACCAGAGACAACTCCCTCACTGGAGATCGTAGGTAAGACCTCCTCATCTAGCAGGAACTGTTCTAATCAATGAGCCACTCATGTTATCAATTGTTTAAACGAGTTTTTCCCATATGTACCATTTACAGTTTATTTTCCTTCTTTTAAGGTACTTCTGAGACATTTTGGTTTCTGCAATTTTTTAACAAAATGTTTTGAAGGTGTACTGAAAAGAAACTACAAGGAAAATTTTCAATTACCAATAGGAATAACGTTTTTAAACAATTATACTACAATTTAGGGTACATTTTTTAATTTTTGCAATATGTGACTTATAAGTAAAGACAATTTTCTATTAATAATTTTAGTCTATTTCTCTGTGATGCTGTATTTTTATACAGCATATCAATAAGTATACTACTTTTCTATTAACGTCAGAAGAATTTAGTCGATGCATAGTGTTCACTTTGTTGCATCTGGAATTTATATCTCAAACTGTGAAATGTTTCAAACTGACCTAAACATCTCACACATATTATTATTACAAAATCTGTTACACATTCCAAGAGCGTTAATAGGTCATGGCTAAAATCAACTTTTGCATCATCAATCTTCTGGAATAAGGTTCCAGAAAATTCTTTTGACTGAAACTTACTTTTGTGATAGTGACCGGGTAGTCTCTTTCAATAAGTTTGTAGCATTCATCGCGGTTCGATACCACCTTACGGAACTCAAATAACCTGAAAGCAACAATATTGTGGTTACATAAACAACTCTGCAGGACTAAATGCTACATAACCTAAACAAAGAATTTTAAAATTCTTTAAAGAAGTAAACAGCTTTTATAAGAAGGACGTTAGGTATAGGGTTTATAAACTTAGTTACCTTTTCAAATTTTCCGGTTTACCCCATCCTTTAGTAAAAAACTTGGTCAAAAGAATACTCCGGTACACAGCGTCGAGTCGACTGGCGGACATTTTCGTAAAATGGGCGGATTTAGCAATTCAATATATTTTCTCTAAAATAATTTTGCTTCTAGAGCAGTGCTCATGACTTGTTAATACATTTTGTCGAAAAATTGTCAACAAATATTTTTTTAGCGCGGTCAGCTGTTTGGCAGTAGCAACACGTCAATTTTGGGTTGCAACTTTATAAATTTTGCCAAGATCTTTGTAAAAGTATTTCACTTATTAAATATGAAATTTGATATTGCACATACCAGTTAAAAATATCTAAATCACGGACTTGTATATTAAACTGGACCGCGCACTAAGTTAATAAAAAGAGCCGAGTGAATAGTAATATATCTCTTTCTAATAGGGAGTTCATTCATGTTTCAGCCAGCCATATTGTTTTTAATTTTTACAGAAAATGTGGCCGCTTATGGATGACCAAATCTACTAATATTATTTCATGGTACAAATTAGTATACTTATTTGATATGCTACTTCATAATATAAGGTTTCATTGTTGATACATTTATTTTGTATTATTACAGTAAAAGCATATTACCATTAAGATAATTTTATTTAACCAAAATTTTAAAAAGTTAATAGACTAGACACTGCCTAAGATGATTTTATTTAGCGTTGGCAACTTGTTAGACAAGGACAGACCAGTACTTCGGGCTATCTAACGAGTCTCGCTTTTTTACTTTTACTTAAAATAAACCTTAACATAACCCAATAAGGTGTAAATTTGTAATATTGGTATGTCGAAGTGCTCGATCCCGCTTATGAAATATATAAATCTGTGGTCTAAATTTCGTATAAAACATTTTTTAGTAGAAATTTTAAAAGTACTTTTGAATTTGATGCATTGACTTACAATTATATGGACGTCGGGTCCGCGCTAAAAAGTGTCCGCACTTGTAAGGCGCTAAAATCGTATACAGAGCGCCAAACTCCGCTTTAGTCTTCATTTGTTCGACTGACAGCGCGATACTGCGATGACATTACAATTTAAATTTCGAATAGGTTGACTTGGGATATTTTTTTCGTGGTTTTTGTATTAGACCCGTCGTCCATTTATTTGTAAGTCAATGATTTGATGCAAGAATTGTTATTTTGGGAATTACTTTTCAGGTAATTTTAATTAGAATATAGAAACTCTGGAAAGTCATTACGGCACGTTCGCAAACTACGTATAATTTTGTGATTGCACCGAAAATAACACACCTGTTTGTGTGATTTAAAATATTTGATTTTATTTATAGCAAAATATTTTACTCTAATAAGAACGGCTGAAAACATTTCAATCAATGAAAACTATAATTTGTATTAAACATTTTAGGATGTTGCTTATAATTTTTTTGGCAAGTGCTTAAATTATTTTCTAAACGTACATCGATTGCAATGATTGTCGCGGCAACTTTTAAAATTAATTCGAAACATATACAGTACAATAATGGGACAGACGGATATAGTACGTTGACTAAAAATCGTGTAGTCGATTAGGTTTTGTTTTCTTCAAGTGGGGGGCAGCCTTCATTACATATACAATAGACGTTGTCTAAAAACCAGAGCATACAACTAGTATTTAGTGCATGCAACTAAAATAAGGTGTAGTTTATGTATATCTTAAGTGGAAACGTCGAAAAAATTCAACTTGGTGGACCATCACCCCGCCCTTTAAATTCTCAAACTTTTCATCCACGTTTTTGACACACCGACTTAATAGGACTATGACGTATCTCGTGGGGACGATAAAACAAATGACTACCAAATATGGAAGGTCCACAAAGACAGATGTCGTCCGATTGTGTAGTTGAACTAAATTAAAATGCAAATTTTTAACGATAAACAAGCGTAGGTAGAAAAGATTTCTATATATAGCAAAACTAGAACAATTAAACGAATATTTTAAGAAGGAATATGTTTTGAGGCAAGCTAAATATCATTAAATGTCCTTGGTTTCGTGATGACTTAACGTCTACTTAATAATGATTGCTTGATAAAAATTATTTTTAAGCAAGTTTGCAACTGCAAACTAATATGTGGGGAGAGAAAGGGCCATCCTATACTTTGAGTATCCCTTTTGTGGGTTTTCGTTGTCGATGTTTTCACGATTGTTGACGTCGGAAATTACTTAATATTTTGTGATCTACATTGAGTATATTTGTTTAAAAAACTTTTGTAACTATAAATAAATAATAAACAATTACTAGATAACATCACATAGGTAGCTACGATCTCAAAGTAAGTAACTAAGGCACTTGTGTTACAGAAATCGCAAACAACGACGGTACCACAAACACCCAGATCTGAGACAATATTAAAAACTTGTTTCTACATTGACCTGGCGGAGAATTAAAACCGGGACCTCGGAGATGGTGACACCATGAAAACCTGCGTGCAAGCCAATCGTACCACGGAAACTATAGTGGAAAAGTAGGGTAGTTTGCATTAATTTAGACATAACGGATTACTTTATTGTGTCAGTCACCTTAGAGGATGGAAAAAAAAACAGTCAGCCGTGACCATGGAACCTGTAAAGAACTCGAAACTTTGGTTCGTTTCAAAATGGTTTCATTTTCTACGTAAAACTATTTCCATATAAAAAATAATAACCGTTTACTTGTGTTCTACTCCTACGCCTGCAGGCTGATTTTAATTCTAATCGGAATCGGGTAGCCCATCCGAGTCTCGAAATCAGATGGGTTTCCGAGCGAGAAGATGAACCGGATTCCTAGTATATCTTTCTAATTTGTGAGTTAAATCAACTATTGTTCCGATTTGAAATGCCAAGAACTTTCGATCGGCCAGTTGTGAATCGCAATTATGCGCCTCCACTCAAGAAGAGATGCAGTTTCCGATCGGGAGAGGCAATCAAAATCAAGCTGCAGCTCTACTAATTCCATCGCAAGCAAGAAATTAAAAGAACAAAAAGTAGGGAAGCTGTCATTAACAACACAAATACAAACCAAGATGAATCTTACGTAACCAGTTGTGGGCTGCGAAATCATGAGTCAGACTGAAAAAATATTATTCGTTCATAGTCAAACTTGCCAAAATTGCATGCAAAAATCGATCTTTATGAAATAAAATGTTTGTTAAATTACGATTTAAATTTATCGAGTCAGTTTTGTTTGAAAAATTTGAGGTTTTTCACTAATAGAGTTCATCTACGATTTTATATTTGTTTTGAATATTTATTGACGGAAGTTTGATTTTAGTCTTACCTCTTATGGCCTTTGGGTAGTACCTCTTATGGCCTTTGGGTAGATTTTTAAGTACCTGTTTGTTTTGGTTTCGGCGCTAGAAAAAACCAAAGCCCCCCAATTTCCTCCCTCACTTTTATTTTGGGCCGTCAGGGAATTTTACCTATACTTAACAATTTTTTTTAACTGTAAAGAAAACCTGGTATTGTAAAAAATGTTAAAAGTAATTAAGATAATGTATTACTTACTACCTATCCATATATACGTGTAATCGTACTCTAAATTAGTAAAATCCGGTTCAACTCTAACTGGGGGCTTGTCTCGAAGTTTAATTACGTCATTCCCACCTGTCAATATTATTACATAAAATCAAATAGAGATTCGCTCTGGACCTTTTAGAGGGAAAAGTGTCGTTTTTATTTTGACTTTCAATTATTTTGTGAAATCTAGTTTAAAGTGGAATAGGATAGTGCTATAATTGTGCCTTGATAAAGATTAAAACGCGAAATTATACGAATCTCGAACTAAAACACCCATATCGGCCCGTTTTAAGGAATCCCGTGTCAATCCAAACACGCCGCCTCAAATTGCCTATCCTCTTTGTGGCGGCCATATTTACAGAAACATAATTAAACTTCATGTTTAGGCTGATGGCTTTGCCAAAGCTTTAATAAATAAAAAAATAAAAAAATAATAAAACGAAATATGGCGGGAAAGAAAATAGGTAACTGTATTTTTTCATCCTCCTTTTCTAAATCTATATAGTAAAACACCTACATAAAAAAGGACAACGCTTTCAGGAAGCTAAAAGAATTTCAAAATAAAAAACAACAAGAAGCCTTGTTGTTCTTATTGAATTATGCGCACGAGTTTGCGAATTTATTAAAGCAGCGTAGGCGCTACGAACAGTATAAGGATCGCGGTTACACTACACGGACTTGTTTTCTTCACCGTACACAGACAGACGAACAGACGTAAGTGGCCAGTGCTAAAAACTTTTTTTTGTGAAGTGTCATTGTTCTGGAATAGGAAAACATGTGAATTTCGTGGCGGTTATTTAAAATCAACTTTAACACGTTTATTTATTTATTAACTCCAGTTAACAAAACCGATAACTGAAAATTCGTCCGCAATATTTTTAAATTGATTCAAATAAATAGTTTTGAGAACGAGTTCTTGTGAATGTACCTACTCGTATATCAATGATCTTGCACTTATATCATGATTGATACGATGTGTTATTAAGAAAAATTTCAATGTTTCAAGTCTGTGTTTATTTTTAAAATAAAACAGAGTTACAGATTTTATGCAAGCTCCCTAATCAACGTAGAGAGATTTTAATGTATAGTTAAAATCATAATAATAATAACCAAATAAATAACACGAAATTGTAAATTAAAAAAATATAATTAAGTACCTACACCTAGGCGGCCAATTTAAAAAAAATGTGTTTTAACAAATTTGCCATACTAACCGCAGGTACAGCGTTGTAGCTCATTGCCTATTTTAGTCATAGTGTAACAAATACCATTTAGCAAATAATACCTAAATACATACCTATAAAAGTCAGCTTTACTTGTCATGGTATTGTATGGGATATGAGTCATTGACTCAATACGTATTTACAAGGTTAAACACACTTTGTACGAATGACATTGATCAGTATTGATTAAATGCAGATTGAATAATAAATGATAACAAATTCCCGGGTGTCGTTATGTACAGCGTGAAATTTTAATTAATATGTTGTTTTGAAGGGGAAGTTGTGTTTACATAGCTTGATGATTTAGTAGCAGCAGAGCTCCTTGTGAAAGAGTTCGTCTAGGGAAGTACTACCACCTTACCTATTTCTACCGCCAAGCAGTAATGTCACCATTACTGTGTTCCGGTTTTGAAGGGTAAGGGTGCTGGTGAAATTACAGGCACATGGGACTTGTCAACTTATGTCTCAGGGTGTCTGGCGCAGCGGCAGTGCCCTTAAGATCTTTGTGATTTAAAGCTCTGAGTGTCAAATATTTCCGATATTTGACTATTTACAATAATAAACATTATACAATGATACTACAAAATACAATAATAATTAAGAATATTTCTAGAGCAAGAAATGGGAATGAAAAACGGTTTATTAAATTTGGTTTATTAGTAGGTTGAAAATGTTTGTCACGGCAAAATAGTTGAACGTGTGATCAAAAGTATTTAAGTACGTCAGTTGGTGAAAAATATAAGATTAATTAGCGAGTCAAATTCTGATAATCCATTCATAGTTATAGGTGCTAATATAACTATATTAGGAAGTGCTCTACAAGATGTATAAGGATGAAATGACAGCAAAATATTGACGCAAGGTTGTGTTTATTCGATAATTTGTTTGAAAATTCAGTGCAATTATAAAATTATAAGGTTTTGTTGAAGACACGTTAGGCAGGTCATTTGAAAAAAGCAGTCATTACTCCCTATATTAAGTCCTATTACTTTCTGGACACCCAGCACATATTTTTTACGTAATACTGACATTTGTAACGGTCCGTTTTTAAATTTGTAAAGTGTTGCTGTTTTTGAGAGAATCAAGTACATTGTTATAATTATTAATACAAAGATCGAACACTCAGAAAAAACACTCAGAAAATATTAATTAATTAATCTTTAATTAATCTTCTATAAAATTCTTAATTAATCTTTGTATTAATAATGATAACTAACTAGTGGAGTAATTTCACAAAAAATAATTGAATATCAATTCAATAAAAATTTAATTAATCAAGTACATTTTTAGGTGTTATACTATACCTAAAAATGCACTTGATTCTCTTATTTATATTTATTAATCAATTCTATAGTATAACCATGTAAGGAACTTGGGATAAAACAAATTGAGTAGAAGTTAGTGCAACAGGTGATGTTATTGCTAAAGAGTAATATCTATCAACAATGCTTAGGTTTATTAAGTATTTAAAACAATATTGATGATGATGCTGTATTTTCAGATGGGCGAGAAACTGCTATGTTTAGCACCAGTGGTGCTACTCGCCTTCTTCCAAGTTGGAGTCGATGGTGAGTTAACAACTAAGTAACTATTTACTTGATTATTCGTATTATATCTATGTATTGAGTAGAATATTATTAACACGCAAGAAAGTAGTATTGACAGAGACGAATAAATATAATGGTCCAGTTCAAGAAATCTATAAGTCCATTTATGGATTTTATGCATTATCTACACCATTTGCTAAAACTCAACATTGTCTATGCTTTAATGTCACCGTTTTCTTTCTAACAAATCTGTCTATTTAAAAAAAAAAATTTTAATATAATTAAAATTTATAATAAAAATAAATAAATAAATAAAACTTCTTATGATTTCGCGATTTTTATAGGTATATACTCTATATGCTTAAGGTATTAAACATTTTTTTTTAAATTTAAATTGCGTATATTTGTTTTTTTTTTTCAAACAACCCAACGTTTCGGGGACTTTACAGGCCCCATCCGTCCTAGTCATCCGTGACCTGGGACCTAAAGAGCCCGAAACGTTGGTTTGTTTGAATAAACAAATATATGCGATTTGGATCCGAAAAAATGGTTTCACTTCCTATATTTCAAAAACGAAAAAAAAAGAGTGTACAAATATCCAGAAATTAATAATTGGGCTAAGGGATTTCTTGAATTTGAATAACTACATTAAAACCCAAAGCTTTAAGGATACTTAAAGAATATAAAATAAAGGAACATAAAAGAGGTGTCACATTTCATAATTTTAATAGGTTGTTAAATGTTATCAACAGTAGGTACTATCACCAGCAGCTAAAATGTGGAGACACCTTTTTGATACACCGTGTAAATATATAGGGTATAGTATAGGATGAAAAATATCAATGGGATTCGAAAGGGCACTATCTTAGCTATCTTAAGCATTTAAGTGAATTCCTGAGGATATGCATCATTTGCTCATTTGCTCATTTGCTGGAACTTGTCAGGATGCGGTTATTTGCACACGTTGGTTTTGGTAGGTACATTTAATGTTGGGTGATGCCAATCCGTTTTGTCTGAGCCAACAAATAGTGCCGCGAAGATTTTGTATACATGTAGTATTTAGGTAGTATTTTGATTTATCTGTTTCGATTCTATTAAATAAAGATTTAAATAAAGATTAAAGATTTACTTGATGTATTGTTTTGGTTTCTAATGGGGCTGCATGTTCAATAATGATCAAAGCCCTTAAATGAAAAAGAGTAAAAAAAATAAGGTATGTACAGGTAAAGGTAGTTCCACTTCATGTACCTACATAACATTGATTTTTTCCACCCTATAAATGTTGTGCGTATATATAAAGGGGTGAGTTTTAAATGGCAAGTGAAGTTACCTGAGTAGCGTGGAAAACATACATCCATATTAAATCAAAAATTCTTTATAACAAACGAGATTATTGAAATTGTCAGGAAGGTATGTTTTCGGATATAGGCACATTTTCACACACGTTTTCGCGATTGTCACACAATGGAAATAAGACTATTTTTCAAATCTAAGCCGCGTATATTTGTTTTTCAAACAAAATAACGTTTCAGCAGGCATATTACCGATCTTTAGCGACCAGTCGTTTTAGCAATAGTTGCACGATTATCGCTGTCAAAACATAAATTCGTATTACGGAACGAACAATTGCTACCAGTCGACTATTGGTTTCATGGTCGCAAGTAACTATATTTTAGTTTAAATTTACTTTGCGAAAAACCATACGCAAATTAGTAATTTTTAGCGATACGTGATCTCACCCACAATTTCCAGCTATCGATACAAACAAAACAATCGCCAAGGTTAAACTGTAGCATAAATACAATTAATGTGGAAGATTGCCATAATAGGCGAGTGGATTAAGTGGGCGTGGTTACGCGAATTATAATTGACATAATATGTACATTGTTATGTTACCATGTCAATACTTGAAGATGACTTAAAAAACAGACTAGTATTTATTTAAAATTGGTAAGGTCAAGTAGTAATAGTGAAGTGTGGTTTCGACGAAATTAGTCGATAATTTTTTTATGTAATATTTATTTATATACTTTTTGTGAAAGTTCTCCACTAGTATAATGTTATAAATGGGTGCAAAGATCGAATAAAGTCAGAGAACGGCGAAGAACCGTTAAAACCTAAAATAAAGATAAGCAGCTAGATTTTGATTGCCTCTCCCGATCAGAAACTGCGTCTCTTGCGATTCGAGGCGCATAATTGCGATTCACAACTGGCCGATCGGGAAGTTTTGACATTCAAATTGGAACAACACTTGATTTAACTTACAAATTAGAAAGATATAGTAGGAATCAGGTTCATCTTCTCGCTCAGAAACCCATCTGATTTCGAGACTACCCGATCGGTTCGATTCCCATTTGAATCAAAATTAGCATGCTGCAGCGTTCCGTAGTTCCTTTGGGAGAACGAGATCCTTTTTTTTATGTAAAAAAAAAGTACGCATTTGACTTCAATCTTACCTGATGGAAAGTGACAATGAAGTCGACCATGGAGCATGCACACTAAAAATGCCTATTCACTCTCGCGTTAAGCGAAAATATCACTGATTTGGATCGAAGGAATTTTCCTTGGATTTTTGCATTAATTACATAAAATTAACAACGTCGTTAAAAACTATAGATTTAATATATCTATGTACTAAATCTGTGTTAAAAACGAAAAACAAAGATGTGCAAGAAGCACATAGAAAAATTCGTAAGTTCTGCTGGCACGGATCGAATCCAGCCGGATCGAATGAATTTTTCTAAGTGTTCCATCCTTGATATTAATAATTATAACAAACTTGTGGAGTAATTTCACAAAAAAATAATTGAATATCATGGTAGTAAAACATCGTGATATTCAATAAAACTTCAAAAACTTTTTTTATGTAAACATTTTACTTAGTTTATTTAGAGTTACAAAATTTCACATAGGTATCGTAATTTGTTTCATATACTTAGTATTATTTTTATGATTTTTTTATGTGACTAAGTGACGAGACGAACAAGTCGTGCGCCTGATGGTAAGCGACACGCCTATCCATAACAGTTGCAGTGCCACTCAGAGCTTTAAATCTAAAAGGTCTGAGAGGCACTGCCTCTGCGCCCGTCACCCTGAGACATGTCACACACACAAGTTGACAAGTCTGCCTGTAATTTCACCAGCACCCTTACCCTTCAAAACCGGAACGCAGTAATGCTGATATGGCATCGTGTGTGTGTGTGTGTGTGTGTGTGCGATATTACTGCTAACAGGTCAGTCAAGAGCACATCAAGCTTGACACTTAGGACTTCTTGTCACAAGCGTTATAGAGTTGATTTTACCCTGAAGTAAATCTATGTATTATAAATGAACATAAGATTGCATAGTTACGGATTTGCTAAATGACCTATTTTATTTTATAGTCTCATATTGACGGTACTGTTTTACAGTACCTACTTATTTTGTAGGACAAATATAATTATCATGAATGTTCATGATATATTTGTCCTACAAAATAAGTGTGTACGAATACAAACCAATATCAAAATTCCGGAAAATTGCCCATCGCATTTTAAAAAGCTTGGAGAATATTTTCGAAACTTGTATATTTGTAAGAAAAAATTCTCAGTCTTTTATAAAGTTGTGAAGATACCTATACTCGTACATGTGAATTGCTATAAATAAATGAATGAAACTTATTGGCTTATTCGACTTTGTAATAATTAAAAAGTATTGGTTATTTTGTAGTGTAAGTGACATTTTCATAATTATATTACTTTTCAAATCGTTAAAAGACCTGTCGTCAATCTACAATATTAATCCAAAATTGCCTTTATACAACGAAAGTGGACTTTTCATATACGGAAAGCAGCGGTATTCCCAAGGAGATACGCGATTTCTACAGTATACTGTTGACACAACTGTAAAAATGTTTGTGTACATTACTAATCCAACGCTTTAAAACTTTAGTAGTTACGCATAAATGGAGCAAGAAGTACTAACTATAGCTAGGTCATGGTGCTCGAAAGAACATGTGGAATATATTTTCAACGTGTATTATTTCATATTTAAAATATAACGAACTATGCAAACCAAGCAGTTATTCTTGTCTCCTTTTACATCAAAATCATACAGTATCACCGTTTAAAGCGCGTCACAAAAAAGATTCCCTAGATTTAATGAAGCTCTATGATTGACCACGCGGAACGTCCACCCACCACACCCATAGCTACCGACATCTATAAATTATGTATAACAAAGCAATTACACAATATGTGGAGCTAGCAAGGACATAAGGTCTTTATGTAGGCGTTGTTTACATTTATAGCTACACCGAAGGTTTCTTTATTTTTTTTTGCTTTGGATCTAATTCAGTGGACTATTATGTAGTATAATATGGTTTTAAAAAACCTCAGTTAGGTTGATGGGCTATTGTTTCAAATTTATTATGTTTGATACGGAAGTATTAAATTTTTTATTTTTTTTGGGTATTCTACAATTCGTTGATAATTGTTTAAATCTTCTACCATTCTATCTTCCATATTAAGCACATAATATGAATACATTATTTCCTTTATTGGACGCAATGAAAATTCTTGTCGTTAAATGTATTTTACCTTATAAGGAAATGACCAAATATTTAACGACTTCTATATAGTCCAATCACAAATACAAGTGCGGGACACAGGCTATGGACGCGATACTACATTTAGAAATACGGACAAGAAAAAAAAAATGCTATAACGTCGACGTAGGAATTTTTCATTAGTAGCTCCAGGTGAAGATTTACATATACTTGACTACAAAAATATTAGGTACTTTATCTATTTCGGCAGCTTATACAATAACTTTCATACACGCTCCGCAAAAATCACACCTGGGAATATCTCTCAGTTGTTTTTTTGAATGTAATGCAAACATTTCCGAGAATGTTTGAGAAAATAATGCTTCCATTAATCATCCATGGTCACATGTGCTCATCGGTAAAGCAATTTATTCATAACGCCTGTCGCAACTAAGGGCCTTCCCATTATTCCCATCTTCTCGACTTTCTGTCGTAACTGTGTCGTAGATGTTTTTTACCGTTGAACGACTGTCATGTCTAGCTGTTCCCACTGTTTTGTGTCGACAATTTATGCGTGAATTTTAGCCGACTCCAAGAAAAGGAGGAGGGTCTCAATTCGATTGTATTTTTATTTGTGTTACGCGATTACTCCGACGTTGTGTATTGTGTGATTTCCGATGATTCTTTTTTGTTGGAAAGTTGGTAACCACAGTGTTAGTTCCATTTAAATTTCAACAAAATATTCTACCTCTAAGGGTGGCACTTTCTGTTAACCAATTTTCATGAAACTGGCAAATTGATGTAAATTCCACAAACTTTTGAGGTCGGTTATCTTTTTATAAAAGTTATAATTAATTCGACACAAAAGCGCAGTATAATATTAGCGAACCACCGAAAATAGGTAAATAAACATCCGATTATCCCATCACTATAATAATTTTTACACTATAAAAATTTCATATTCTTTCAGCCCAGCGTTACGTAAACTACTACCCACGAAGCTACTACGGTCGCAATCTTTATGAATACGGGCGGTCTATTTCCGACAATGTAGTATCCTGCGGACCCCACACTTGCGGCGTTGGTGCTCATTGTATCCATGGAAGTGTGAGACCGGTCTGCGCTTGCCTGGCTGGCCACTCTGGAGATCCGTTGTCGCAGTGCATTAGGATTGAATGTGTTGGTAAGTTCCAACTTGTAATTCGCACATGTGGTGTAATAGATAACTTTTCTGGAGAGAGGTTTAACACGGTCAGACCGGGAAAAAAATTACCATTATTTGCTGTCGGGCGGGAAGGATACTCACATGGCCACAGGTAGTAAAATCATCGCCCCATCG